CTTTTGCGCGGTCACCAACGACGACGAAAAAGCTTCGTTTCTTCTCCTGCAAGTTATTGCGTATAAGCGCAGGAATGCGCGAATCAATCGCCTTACGCGGCATCGTGGTTGGAGCTTCCCCTGGCTATCACAACTGACCAAGCAATCAATTCGTTGGAAAGGCGAATCCTTTGAAGGTGAAAACTGTGAGTGGGTACGGAGATATCGTCAAGGTTCCTAGACTGGCCACGCGCTCCGCACACAGCCTTGAATCCTTATAAACTGTAGACCAGACCCTTTATAAATGATATGAAAAGTGATTCCGGCGACTGGGTCTGGAATTATAAACTGCCGTCCGTGTGCTGCGACTTTTTCTGCTCAGCCAAAAAAAAAAAAAAAAAAAAGTAAAAAAAAAGTTATCAGGCGGAGAGCATACTGCCAGATGCCACCGCCTAGAAAAGTCACCGCCCTCGTGCGATTACATAATACACAGGCTTTCCTCTTCGGGAATAGAGCGCTCTCAGGTCCAGATTGAGAAAAGGAAGTCAGTGGATCAGGCATTAAAGTTGCCTTAATTTACTACTCCTGCGTTACTAGTTGACTTCCATCAATCGCTGAAAGCTTCATCATCGGGATGACGAATATTCGATGGTCGCTGCATTTGATATGATACATGACTTCCCGCAAGCATTTGCCTTTCTTTCATCTTTTATTTCTTTGTCAATTAACAGATCCATTCCCAATGGAATGCAATGGAGTAGGGAGCCACCGCAGTTTTGAGAGTTCAGAACTACCTATCATTTCCAATTGACCGTCGCCAAAGAAAACAACTTTTGGGGCTTCAATTCGGGGATATGATTTGCTCAGCGGGTGGTCAACAGCAGCCAAAAATAACTTGGCATGACACGGCGTCTAAGGCTAAAATAGAGGCCTCGTTCAATGATCGTCACTGGCGTGCTTTGGATTTTCCTGGCCGGCTCCACGGCGGACAGACTAAGCTCTCCCATTCCAGCAAAGACGGGCAAATCACCCATGGTCGACCCTGTTTCGTTGACGCAATTCACCCGCTGACTTGATACCGTCGCACCCCTAATACGGAGTAACCCTGGAGGGGTCAGGTACATTTATCCTCCCTAAGGTCTCTGCCTCGCTGTTGTGACCTTCAGAGAACTGTGCATATGGAGTACATACTACCCTACCTTACAACTTAATCGAATCGACCCTTCCCGCCCCTTGACGTCTCCACCCAACAAATTTAAAATTCCCCAGGCAGTTTAAACTAGTCAATAGTCGCCCCATAGCCGCTCCAAGTCCCTATTCCTCAGTATTCCGTGCGCGTTTTGGTCGGCGCAGCATGATGCAAATTGGCAATTGGTTACTGTAATGGCTTCCTGTGCTAACTGCACATAATCATATTCTGTCTCAATGAATCTTTTCTCCGCCGAATCGGGGCTCAAAGCCTCTGTGGTGTAAGTGACTGTACTACTTTGCTCCGGAGTAGCTAACCAGGCGCGCAGGGTATTCTTACTGAGCTGCACTTTCATTACGACTTCTTACACCACCACGTTCGCTTTTGGTGAGTCAATTCTATGCATCATCGCGCTAAGGACAAAATGGGTTATGATGGAATGTACTGAACGGCAATTGGGCGATAAAAAGGATAGCATTTATAGAGCATGCAAGTATGCAGCTAACAAAAAGGAATGAACAGACCATCCACTTGAATCAGCTATCCTAGCCTGTTTCTTAGCAGCTATCCTTCTTTTGATCACGGGCAGATTCGCCGACTCTTTTCCCACGATATCGTCTCCTGCGCATAAGTATTCCGCCATACCCCTCACAGAGCTGAGCCATTCCGCCGCAGAAGAGCCATCTTCACCGAGTAACCACAATGGTAACTTTCCCAGTCGAAAGCCACTCGGCCCGAGTCGGTGGATTGGAGTTGGTTTACTTTCGGGTATGGGTTGCCTCCGAATCGCTCTATACCACCAACTCAATCACAACAATGAGTGCGCACCGACGGGATATGCTGTAAGTGTACCCACGATAAGCTTGACACACAACACATATGCTGATTCTGAATGACCAATTTTTTAGTACATGATCCCATTCCTCATTGCGCTATACGATTACTGGCGCAACCAACGTGGCCGACCAAATCCGGAATGGATTGCGCCGGAAGGCCCTTCAAATGCGCATCTGCGCATGTTCGTTGCTGTAGCCAGCCGCGCGTATTTCTACCTCTGTCGGAGCCGATTGAGGAATGTGTTCTCGGCTGTATTCCTCATGGCTGCTGGTCTTCTCGTGGCTACATTTGATGACGGCAGGCAATCGACATATATCTGCCCTAGTATCTCCGGGCTACATCCACGGTTTCGGGCGTATAGGTTTCTCAGCGTTGCTTTAGATACATTGATTCTAATCGGCGCTGCTGAGCTTTGCTGGGAAGGTAACCGATCCCGGGATGGAAGGAAAAAGCAAGCGTTGGTCTCTTGGGGCTGCGGATTTCTTGTAAGTCTGCCTAGCTGTGATCAACAGTGCATATTGTAGAACTTCTAACTGTCCATATAGGGAGTTGCTGTAATCTGTTTTATCGCGGCGCTCGTTCTTAAAAAAGTGGCACCTGGGGATGGCGGTTTTGTTAACTCCCATTATTTACGAAGCGCAGCAGGCCAAGGCCTACTAGTTACTTTTACAGTACTGTCCGCATTTCAACTTGTAAGCAGCATATCATAACCTGGATAAACCTATCTCTGACTGGCTTCAGATGCCCTTTTATGGTGCAGTTGGGATCTCTATATTGGCAGCCTCGGTATCCATTGACTTCATGCTGGCCTCGATCTTGTTTAACGGACAGTCTTTCCCACTGATACTCCCCTCTCGTGCTTTCGCTGCACTTCTTCTTACCTTCCTGGGTGTGATGCTATATCTCTGTGGTCAAACGGCTTCTGAAGAAGAACCGCAGTTCCTTTATGGATTCAACGTGTTTATGCGGATATTCTTCTCAATCATATTTGGCTTTGTGGTGATTCTGATCGCCCAGCAGCCCAGTGTAACCAATGTACACCCAATCGACTTGCTTATTTATGAGGGTAGAAAAAATCATGATCGCTGGAAATCCAGTGCCAATGGCAGCAAGAATCTGGCAGAAGTTGTTGCCCAGTACCGAGCGAAATACAACCAACATCCACCACCGTGAGTCAATCCAGAAGGCACACCAGATACCATACTGACTCTCGACATAGAGGCTTTGACAAATGGTATGAATATGCCACTAGTCGGTCGTCTGTCGTCATTGATGAGTTCGACCAGATATACGACAATCTATTGCCGTTTCGTGCCTTGCAGCCGGAAGAAATTAGGAAAGCGACTCACCAATTAGCCACAAATCCTTACAACGACATTGGTGCAATCAGTATACGCAATGGAACAGCAAGAGTTCAGCAGGGTATCAAGCCAACACATGCCTGGATGGTTATCGGTGCTGCTAAGATAATCGAGAAATTCTCTGAGCATCTTCCTGACATGGACTTAGCCTTCAATCTTAACGATGAACCACGAGTTTCCGTGCCTTGGGAGAAAATGTCTGTTTTGAGGGCTCAAGCGAGATCTCAAACACCTCCCGCAAGTGAGGGTTTAACGAATGAGTGGTCGAGCAACCGTGATGAAGGATGGGCGCCAATTGAGCCGGCAGATCAGACGACAGAGACCATGTTCACCGACAGCTCCTTTGTAAATATATTCGATCGCTATGTAGGCGCCCTTTGTCCTCATTCATCAAAGGCTCGATCTCAACGAATGTGGGATCGGCACCACATATGCATGGGCTGTATTCGTCCCCACTCCATGGGGCAATTTCCGTCCGACTGGACGGTGGCAACTGATATATGCCACCAACCTGACCTTGCATCCTTTCACGGATTTTTCGTCTCGCCCGCCTCATTCAAGGTCACCCAAGATCTTGTCCCGGTTTTTAGCCAGAGCACGATTTCCGGATTTGGCGACATAATATTCCCTAGTCCGTGGAACTACGTGGACAAGATAAAATACGAGCCTTCTGAAGAGCACCCGGATCTGGACTATGTGGAAAAAGAAAACCGCCTTTTTTGGATTGGCGGCACATCGGAAGGCGTGAGTCGCGACGGTCAATGGCAAGGAATGCCGCGTCAACGGCTGGCACATCTGGTTAACAACAATACATACAACAAGGTGTCAGTGCTGTTGCCCACAGGCAATGCTGATACATACTCTTATCAGATTCTCGACGGCTTGGCTCCTACAGAGAAGCTCGGGTTGAATGCTTCCGTCCACGTTACCGACCCCATCGTGCGCTGCAGGAAGGACTGTGAAGACCAAAAGCAGGAACTGGGCACAGTAGGTCGGGTCGACTTTCAAAGTCACTGGAATTACCGCTTTCTCTTTGATGCAGATGGGGCTGGCTTTAGCGGCCGATTCCTTCCCTTCCTGCAAAGTCACAGTCTACCATTCAAAACAGGCCTGTTTCGGCAATGGTTCGACTCGCGGATCACAGCTTGGCTGCATTTTGTCCCCGTTGATGTCCGTCTCCACGGGCTGTGGAGTACCTTAGCTTACTTTGGTGGCGTGAACATACCTGTCGGTGTGGATGACAAGGGTCACCCCAAAGCCATGATAGAGCCGCATGATCTTCAAGGGCGCTGGATCGCAGAAGAAGGCCGCAAATGGGCTGAACGAGTTCTACGAAAGGAAGACATGGAGATCTATTTCTTTCGGTTGCTTCTCGAATGGGGCCGGCTGACGGATGATCAGAGAGATATTCTTGGATATACGGAGTGATATCCTGTACATTGCACGATTGGACACCGCAGTAAGCGGACAACATATCGGCTGTTATTGCCTCCTTGGTGTAATTACAGGCGCATGGGGTGCATATTTACAACACAATGTATATATTCCGTTCGATATACCTCACTCTTTGACATAGTTTACCTGATTGTCTAGTATTTTCTTGGGCTAAATGAAAAAAGAATGTCGCCATTATAGCCATCAAATCCCTATGTACATCCATAAACGAGAGTGTAAGTCCATCCATACAAAACGCAGGGTATATCAAATCCCACCAGGGATATTTACATCGTCGTCAAGCATACAAGGTCAATTTGCCCAGTTCTCTCTCCGCTGTCTGATAAATGAACGTCTGCCGATACCTACATCCATCTTCCACTCAGTCACATTGCTCTCAACGCTCGCAGCCCCTCCCTGATAAACCTTCAGCGAGTTAATACGCCAAAAGGCATCCTTGAATGCAGCAGGGTTATTCGCCACCCAATTATTGCAAGACCCCTTCGCGGCACAGCTACTCGACCCCCAAACACTACCAGCCCAGTCCCCGCAAAAGGTCGTATCGAAGATCTACACACCAGTCAGTAAATATATCCCACCAACAAACCACATCACCTTCGAAACAAGAAAAGCCAAAAAAAAAAAATTAAAAAAAAAAAAAAAAAAAATTTCAAGGGTGGAAAACACATACAATTTGCAAATCCTTAAAATGCGAATCAATGTTGCAAGCCCCGGCAAACCTCGCCGACGGCGTCCCCCAACCACTCGGATTTGGATGTCCACTACCAATATCAGCGGGGATGCTCGAACGCGGGAAGAACCAAACACTGATAGCCTCGCCAGTCCATTCAGTTGCATACACGCCGCCGCCGGCACTGTTAAACCCGTTCCCGTACGACTGGGCCGAGTTATCTTTGATACCGCAGCCTGCGTTGCTGGCTTGGCCGGGGGCATTGATGTAGCAGTTACTTGTGAGGAGGGAGCCCGAGAACCCTGAATTGTTGATTGTGCAGCTGTCGCTGGTGTGCAGGGCATATTGGTTGTTAGTTTGCTCGTTCACGCCTTCTATGACGTCGATTTCGCCGTTGTTGGGCCAGTTGGGACCGAGGAGCCAGCTTTGATATTATTAGTTTTGTGTTTTCTTTTCCTTTGAGTTGGGGATGGATAGGGGCTAAGGGAGACGTTACTATGCTGGCCAGGCTCCACAGATACTGCCGGGCATGTGGGCTAGATCTAGGATGAAAAGACCGTGGTTGTAGACTTTGTTGCTGCTGATTCGGACGCTTTGGCGGCCGTCTGGCGCGGCATTTTTGTAGTCTACGCCCATGTAGATGGATCCGTCGGCGTTGATTAGGCCTGCGCTTTGGGCTGCACCTCTGTCGACGTACTTGACAAAGCCGTGGGTGGGATCACCGCCTGTGAAGAAGCTGAATTTGTCGAAGAACGCTGAGTCCGTGCCGTAGTCATCTTGTAGTGTGTATGCGGCTGCGGCGAGGGGAGCAAAGAGGCTCAGAGCCTGGGTGAGGGTGGATAGTACGTGCATTCTGAACTTGAATGATCACGATAGAAAGGAATATACAGGCTATGTGTGAATCTGTGTGAAGAGGTAGGGAGTAATATTTATTGATATATAAGGAGTGTTCGAACAAAGTGCTTTATCCTTAGAAGGTTTATTGTTCAAGCAACATAAAGGAAGGGCAGCGTCAAAGGCACTCTCCGAATGAACCAATGCTGGATGGGTGAAGGAGTGTTATAGATTGGCGTTCTTTCCATCCATCTTTGTCCCCCCCTGGTGTCGGAGGTTCAATATATAGCCATGCAGATGTATGTATCCTACACGCTTACTACATACACATATAACCACTCCACACAAGGGACAAAAAGAAACTTAAAACTCACCTACTAGTGAAAAGTGGCGTCAGCCATGATATGCCCACCGGACCAGGCCTTGAGACCTAGAGGGATGCCATTGAAAGGCATATTCTCGAGTCGCGCGGGTACCCAGGATGACAGACTGAGGAAGCATGTGAGCGGCAAATTGGAGTCACGACCAATGTGGACTGGAATGAGATGGATGAAAGGGGTGTTCCTGGACCACAGACGGTTCCAAAATGGCAACAGCAGGCGTGGATATTTCAAACTGGTTGGAGGGACACAAGGTTCGTGGAACAGAGGGCGCGTTTGGAGCGGGCCAAAGAGTTCCAGTTTATCGTGGGCCGTTTCACAGGAGTCAACCATATAGATTGATGGACAGGACGACACGCCACGCAGGGAGTATGTCAGGGTCTTTTCTTTTGTATTTAATTTCCGATGCTGGTCAGGCTCGCACCATGGCTCTTTAGTGTGACAGACACCTGGGTCAATCAGATCGCAAGGATCGAGGGTTCTCTTAACGGTCAAGATGAGGATGAGTGGGGGAAGGCTGACGGTGAAGGACTACTGAGAAAGGAGACCATATGATGTTGGCCGATCCTCTTTGGGGAGTTTTATTGGAATTTCTCGTCCCATCTTGTGATACGTCACGGGGAAACCAGCTGATCGGGAGCAAATTAGTTGGAAACCAAATCGTCCCGCTTTGGCCATCTTCATCGACAACTTCGACTTTGACTTAATTAAGCAACTCGATTAACCGCCGCCAAAAGTTTAACCTCCAAACTTGTCTCACTTTAAATCCTCCGGAACATCTTACCACCCAACATGGGCGGAAAAGGGTATAAAAGAATCACGAATGAAATCACATAGTGGGGATTCAGCAAAGATACATACATGGGTTGGGTTCAAATCGTGGCACTCATTCATTATGTACAGGACAGATGGGGCATGACAGCAATTCCCAGTCAGACCCTTCGCGGTGGAAATGCCGTTTACTGGTGTGCCCAGAATGGTCCAAGTTCAGCAAACACTGTCGGTGATACAAGTGTCGACAGGAAAAGACCACCGCGGGCCCGATCGGCATCTCACTGCCACTTTCTGGGGATCCCCGCATGTCACCTACTGACTCCACGTCCGCATGTCCATCATGGAAGTGTGCCGCCTGACCCGCCTCGGCCACTGCCGCCGCCTTGCCCTTCCCACGGGCGACCGCAGGGTCAAGCCGCCCTTCAATTTGTCGTGACATTCGGCGTTGATGGGCATCCGCCTGCCTCTGCTTCCATGCCTCCCAGAACTCAGAGCCAACCCCAGGCCCCCAAATGCGTTGCCGGCAGACCTCACACACCTGGCCTCGCGGCCGCCACCCCCTTTGACGCAGTCGCGTTACCTCGTCCACATGCACAAAGAGATCCCGATCCAGCATCCCGTTGGCCAGGGCGAGGAGTGACTTCTCGTAAGTATAAGCTGAGAAGATTGAAGCCAAGACCGCGCGGAGTTCAAGGAGCGAAGGAGACCAGTGGGATGCGCGAGTGAGAAATGCTCGCAGAATTCGGAGAAAGGCAACGTCGTTGCGTTCGGTCGAAGCTCCGCCAACCCGGACCGTGCTGGAGAGCAGTGCCGTGAACACCTGTTGTACCAATGTACGGACAGATGACATTAGCTGGGTCGAATTGCTCCCCATCCTCGGAATCATTGGTGCCAGTTGGGTCAATTTATTTTCCGCGTGTTCCTTCTGGATCAGGGCAAACACACTACTGGCAGTACGGACGACAGCTTCAATAAGATCGAGCCAGAGTTTCTCATCGAACGAGAGAGGCAGGTCAACAGCATGTTTCCCAATTCCATTCCTCTCGCCGTTCCGCGGCTTCTTAGCTGTTTTCGACTGGCCTTGGCACAACCATGTACCAACACGCACATACTTGTTTAGAGATTCAACAAGATCATCAATCGCTTCTGCCGTGCTGGCGGAGTCTGGGGTCTCCTGTATACTTCGGAGAATGCCAACGAGACCCGACTCGAGTGTCTGAAGATGCGCAATGAGACGGTCCATAGCAGCTCTGATCTGGCCTTGCCTGGCCAGCAGAATGACAGCTGCATCCACTACCCCGCTTTCTTCCATTGAAGGCAGCAGTTCTTCGAGTCGAACGTCGCCAACTCGTAGCTCATCAACGAAATCAGCGACGTGTGAAGGGTTGTACTTGCAAAGCAATTGCACGTAGCGCTCTATCATCCAATTCTCTACTGGCTTCGAAAGCTGCCGCTCAGCGCCGGGATGCGTCGTAGGGTCAACCACGATAGTCAAGTACTGGTACTGTTCGTAGGCATCGTTTTCCAGAGCTTCAAGGAACACTGCATGCGTTTCGGGAGCATAATCCTGCATTGTCTGAGCGGCCTTCTGGACATCTATGCCTGCTATCTGGCCAGCATGGGTTTTAATCACTTCTATGACATCTCGCCTTTGCCTTTTCCCTAACCCGGAGCCGGCCCGCAGGCAGTCCTGTAGGCAGGTAAAAATCGCCTCTTGCCCACTACGGTCTTCAAGATAGGTCAGAATTAACTCCGGAAATTGCTTCTCGGAGCGATAGGTTGACTTGAGAATCCGGAAGAAACGCGCCTCCCGGAAGAGCGGGATCATGTTCTGAACATCTGGAGGGTGATAGAAAGATAGGAGATACTCTGCGCTGAGTTCGCAGTCCTCTGCCATGTCTTGGTTTGGATATCGACACAATCGCTCCAAGACTTGGTGGAGTGTGCTTCCAGAGAGTAGAATGTACTGGGGGTATTTAGGAAGGTTGCGAGCAAGAAACATGTCTAGGTAAATGGTATCAGATGAAGCAAAGGTTGACGGTGCCATGACCTGGAGCAGTATGCTGATTAAGTATTGCCGATTGATAGATATTCCTTTGAAAGGTGTCTCGTCTGGCTCTTGTTCGTTCAAGAAACTATCCTCGAATGCTTCATTGAGCATGCTCATGAAGCTGGGGGTATCGAATTTCAGGATAGCTTGCAGATCGGAGAACAACTCATTCGATTGACTGTGGACCCCTGATTCCGCCCCAGACAGATTCCCAGAGAAGAGATATTCGTATAAGGCCGCCTTAGCCTGAGTAGCTTCGGTGTCATCCATGTCATTCCCAGTAGGGTATACACGGCCCGTTAAGACAAACGAGAGATATGGAAACATCTTCATCGCGTTCGTATATCGTTTAAGTTCATCCACCGAGCCCCCGTTAACCCAAGATCCTTGGGGTGGGACTAATGCTAGGAGTTCTTGTAGTGGCCCCACATAATCCCCTACACAGCGATTCCAGACGTAAATGAATGCGTCGTACAAGTTATAATGTTTACACAGTGTCGTCACTTGGTCAATATCCATGGTGGCCGTGTCAAGCAGACAGATTATCTCTTCCAACCGGCTGGCAGTATGGTTCGTGGCAAAGTGATTGATAAGCGCTTTGACGGCAGTAGGCGGAAGAGTGCGCACTGTCCCTTCAACTATGTATGATTCAAGGGCATCAAGGAAGACGCCCTGCGAGTCATGCTCCTCATACCAGTTGAATACCTCATCCCAAAGAAAATCCTCATCGTCCATACACACACAGGCCGAGATGGAGACCTCGGCCAATTCCTCAAGCTGTCGATTGCTCAGCCGCTCAGTGTTGGCTTCCTGGTTCCGACCAAAGGCATACTTCAGCGAAGCTGACACCATTTCCAGGATTTTCTCTTGCACGATGGGCTGTCTCAGTGCATCTTCATCAGGCAACCCGATGGTGAGCTTTTCTCCGCTGCCTTTGTAGAAGGATGTTGCTAGTCGGATGGCCCCAATAAAGTCTCCGGCCTCCATGAGTGCAAGTAACCGATCTGCCCAATTGGAAAGGGCTCCAACCAGTGCATCGCTATAGCCCAACAAAAACAGACGCCCTTTATAAGAGCGAAAGCTCATATAAAAAGCATCGGCCACCACGCCATGCATTGAGGTATCTTCTTCATTAAACTGTTCGACCAGAGAGTGAAGCTGAGAGGAGAACAAATCGGCATGGTATATATGTTTGTTAAGAAGATCGATGCTATCCGTTACACGCATAGAATGATCTTCAAGAATAAGTAATTGTTGCGTTATAGTGAGCACTGCCAGGACCGAACGACTCAGCCATTGCACAGCAACAATTGCTTCTTCGGCCTTCCATCTGCTCCGCGCTTTAAACTCCAGGCTGGGTGGTCTGTCCCTGCTGGGTGATTCGTCTGCTTCAATCTCAGACACGTCTAAGATAGTCAACACATTTGACCAACAATAAACAAGTTTTGTTTTTGAAACTTGCGCGTCCTTGCCCTTGAGCTTAATCGCTGGAAACCATGCCAATGCTCCAGTCATTGCGCCATGGGCGGCAACCTCTTTTGGGCGTGGAGCTTTATGTTGGGTCTGTGCTACAGGTGTTGTTGAGACAATTACTAGGAGATATGGTGTAAGCATCGCAACCAATCCCAAAGAATCAGTTGGCTGCTCAACGTTTCCAAGTGGGAGGGGTGAAAAGGCAAGGACAGAGCTTGGCTTTCGCGGCCGGTTGCCGTGCGATATATGCTGGGGATAACGACCCAGGATCCTTGTCGTCTTCACTGTCCGTCCCATCGCGCCCAGGCCACGAGTCGCAAGATGTGAAAAAGCCATCCCTGACTTGTCGGCGGATACGAGCGCAGTGCGCCTTGTGCCAAGGAAGCCTACATGAATGACAGGCGATCCAGGAAGGTGACCATCGGCAGTGCGAGTATCGATATGAGTTTCGGAGAGAGGGGGTATTTGAAGAAAAGGCCGCGCCGGCCTCACAATCTCCCATGTGAATATATCGCCCGAGACATGTCCCCCGGCAACCGTCGTGTGGTCCGCGGATAGTGCCAACGACGTGATTGCTCCACATTCGGTAGCTATATGTAGAAGTCAACGGAGACCAGAACAACAAGGCGGGGCAGGCTCCCAACGTACCCTTAGTCCCCTGTCCAATGATCGCTTTGAGACTTTGTTGATAGTCAAACACCAGGATAATTCCCTTGGACGTTCCAATCACTATGGTCGTAGAGACCGCCAAACATGTGGGATAGCCAAAATTACGTTTACCGACCTCCGAAAATGCCTGGCCAGTTATTTTTCTTAACTTAGTCCACCGCATGACATCCCAAGGGCCTAGGGGAGTCTCAGCATCGGAATCCACGGTACCCGGAGTGAGGCGGCTCGTAAGCGACGACTGTCGGGAGTGAATGTGAGCGAAAAACGGCGAGGACGGTCGAGCCCCGCTCAAAGACGGAGACGAAAGGCGAGACTGGAAGCGGAGATCGAAGGGACGATGCGACGGGCTTGGACTAGCACGAGACGAGCTTCGAAGGACCAAAGCATTGCTACTTTGCGATGACAAAAGAGAATCCTAAAGTTATCAGCGGATAGCAAGGCTGAAAACAGCAGTCGCAACACACATGCAAAGAAGGAGTATCATCCGGAGTGGAAGCTGTCTCGTCGACGCTTCCGGGAGTACCAAGCTGTCTGATATGGGGCGACAATGGTATATTGCCCGTACCGGCGTCAAGTTGGGTGTTCCTTCTATCGAACGAATGGTTTGGGCTAGCTACATCGGGGAGATCCTCTTCGATGTATGCCATTGAGCCCTCCCCATACCCCTCAGGTGACACCCCATCGACAGAGGCACCGTTAGTCTTTGGCTGAACATCTCCCTCGTCCTCTTCCCCCAAGTCGAGCTCATCCTCTCGTGCCCGGTCATCACTGCCCTCAATCATGGAGCTCATCAGCAATATGTTCGAATGACCATCGCTTCGACAATATCGCAGGAAAAGGCGGTCCCGGGAATCAAGATTTAAATGCGGCACCGATACGTTCTGGTTGATGACTGTCTGACAATCTCAGGCCACAAAGCTTCAGTGAACGACTGGCCGAGTGCGGGCCGATAGATGGATACCTTAGGTGCGGAACACAACGGAGGAGCGGTTGCCGACAATCCGACTGGTTAGCAGGAGAATACTCCCGATGGACGACTGAGTCAGGATCTGGATGTAATTAACTGGCAAGTGGTTGTGTAAACCGAGCAAGAGTACCCACGAGCTCGGCTTTGTCGCAAGTCGGGGAAGATGAGGATCATCGACGGAAGGTAACGAGGAGAGCTGGAGGCTGTGAGTCCCTTCCGGCCTCAGGTCAACATTGGTTGGTTTTGCTTGGCTTCCGGGGGGCGGTGCCCCACAAGCCACCAGTGGCTATCAAATTACACAACAACTCATCCTTTCTTGCTTGTCAGTCATAATAATGTCATTGTTGACACATACTATAGAGCTGCTGGGGATTTGTTCCAAGAGAGCGTCTCCTTATACTCACACCATCCTTATTCTCCTATTGATTATCCAGACCATCTTCATCTGCCGCAGTCTGGGCATCTAATCATACCTCAGCCATCACTTAAAGTGCTATGCGCGTTGTATGCAAAGCAGTGTTATGTTGCAAGACAGGCCCTATAGCAGCTTGCAGAACAACAATGACTTAGAATAGTAACCCGATGGGTCATCACAATGTTTAAGTGGGAATTATAAATTATTATGAATGGGGGCTATCCAGGCTCGTCTTTTAGACAGTACCACTTATTCAATGACTAGAGTATATCGCATTCACTACGATGCCATATATCAAGCGGGCTTCTGGCCTATGTTGATGGGTTTCTTTCCAGGTGACTACACTTATTGATATGAATAGTATCACTATGGTCTAGTCATGTTATATACTTCATCCAGGGTATCCTCAGTAATATGCTCAGGTGTGGGTTATAACTTATCAGTATCAGCATGTGACCAGTGTGCCTTAAGGTGCCTTAGTCCAACTACTATTCACATCACCCGCAGACCCCAAGCTACATCGACTGGACAAGATCAACTCTTTCATTTAAGATCCTTGTCTCGTCTTCAGCATAGCGCTGCCCTGTTCCATTCCTGTAGTCACACTAATCCTTCTGAAGAGAAAATTAACCTTTATCTATATTGTTCCCCTCCGACGTTCTCTATAGCGCTTTTCACAAGGCCAGTCACAAGGGATTGATTGGCCACATGCCATACATTCATTCTTCAGCACTGCATGATTTGATCATTTGGTAGCATTCAGCCCTCAACCTAGTTCGGACAAGAATTCAGAGATATAAATAATCGAGATTCCTTCACTAAGGCAAAATGAATATAGAAACGGCAATATCCTTTCAGTCTAGTACCAAGACATGATACCCTTGCAATACTAGTAGCCCTTCATATATAATATAATGCCTTCCAACAAACATCCCATCCTCTCCTACATACTATTTCCTCTCTTCCTCCTCTCCGTCATTCAAATCGCCCAATGCGCTCCATCAACCTGCAATGGCCAATCCGCATTCTGCACCCGCAAGTATTCCAACATCACCCAACTGGGCGCCCACGACAGCCCCTTCGTCGGCCCACTCCCACAACAAAATCAAAACCTGGAGGTAACAGAACAACTGGACCTGGGAATCCGCTTCCTGCAGGGCCAAACCCATAAAGCCCTTGACAACGCCAATACCATTCAACTATGCCATACATCCTGTCTTCTCGAGGACGCCGGAACCCTGGAGTCCTTCCTGGGCACGGTCAAGACCTGGTTGGACAGCCATCCGGACGAAGTGGTAACCCTGCTGCTTACGAATGGCGATGGCTTCCCCGTGTCGCGGTTCGATGAGGTATTCGCCAGTGCCGGGATTAAGGATTATGCGTTCGTGCCGAGCTCGTCGCCGGCTGTGCTGGCCATGGATTCGTGGCCGACATTGGGAGACTTGATTAGTACGGGGAAGCGACTTGTGGTATTTTTGGGTAAGTACACGTGTCTTCCTTTTGGTTTCTTTTGAGTACGGATTAGGTACTACTAGTAGTATCTTGGAGTGGATGCCTTGAGTGGTACCTATATAGCAGTGGAGATATAAAGTCTCCACTGTGTGTATGAGACAGTTTCGTTGGTCTTGTTCCGATAGGACGTGTGTATTGAGCATATTGCTACTAGATTACGGTGCCGACACTAAGTCCGTTCCATATATATTGGACGAATTCGGCTACTTCTTCGAGACGCCCTACGATGTGACGGATGCCTCGTTCCCGAATTGCAGTATCGATCGGCCTTCTGGCGCGTCCGCGGACGGGCGCATGTATATCGTCAATCATTTCCTAGATGTCAATGTGCTGGGGGTCCTGGTGCCCGACAGGATCCGTGCGCCCAAAACCAATGCTGTCTCGGGCAATGGGAGTATCGGGGCACAGTCCGACTTATGTCGGTCCGTGTATAAACGGCTGCCTAATGTGGTCCTTGTGGATTTTGTAGATCAGGGTGAGGTTATGAAGGCTCAAAATACGCTAAACGGGGGTTAGATTAGTTTTATTAGATTCCCTTCGGACCAATGCGTTGCCACAGATACTATTGTAGTCATGTATCCTCTTCACTGGCTAGAAGACAGCTGCTTTCTATAAGTTCTAGTACGCTAAATACCATTGTAAATCAGCTATACACCCCAAAGTCTCAACTTCTATGTATATACACATCATAGCCTTGTATGCTATATATATGTTAGGTAACCCGTTCAATGCGCCATACGATACCTGAGCATGAGTGACCCCGTTTTCGTGAAGTTTCCAAAAAAAAAAAAATTGCCAATTCATTACCTCTTATACACCAGAGTATCATGTCTTACTCATCCAGTTCGACTTGCATTTCACGTTCTGTGGCATCATTAGTAGGATAGATACTGAACGCTGCGAAACAATATACGTACCCCAAACTTTATTTGCTGATGCAACAATTACTTCTGCTTTGGCAAGCAATTTTTTGGCATACCGTTGTGCTTCTGAGGGGTGGGCTTGGCTTCTCTGTGCTTTTCGTGGATTTACCTGGTGCAAGTTAATGAATCTTCTGTTCAGAGCGACATTCATCTTACCATCATTAATATGGGAACAAGGGCCTTTGCATTGGCCTCTGCCAACGCCCTCAAGTTTCGGAACCCCTTGTCTCGTAGTAACCTAGCTAGCCGGCCTTTGACGTATGTGACTTGAGCCATCTCCAATAAATCAGCACGAGCACCGGCTTCCAACCGAATCCGCATATGATCAAGGACTGCTGCAAGCATGCCCCAGCCCATGCGTTGACAGAACTTGACCATACTAGCGGCAAACCCGTGGCAGTGTTGGGCCAATGACTGAACTGTCCCGCGAGGGGTCTGGTAACGACTGGCGACCACCGATAGGGGGACTTCATTACTCAAATCACGAAGCTGAAGCGCGGTGTAAGCGCGACGGTAGACGGCGGCCAGTTTGATCTGCTCTGGAGTGTCCTCTTTGAGAGATGAACCGCTCTGAACCCTGTGGCCTTATTAGTACGCTCTTGCGCGATCTTTCAGATCAACATACATTCTGTTTACAAAGCCCGGCTGAACACCAACAAATTGCAAAGCACGCAGCCCGCTTTCGTCAAGGTTGTCTAGCTGGTCTCGAAAAATGGGCCAATTGATTTGTGTGGTCGTCGCTACCTGGAGGGGGGTGAACATGTAGAAGATATGCATGTCACCATCCATCACAAAAGCCTGTAACGCTCGGCTTAGCTCTTCGTTAATAAAAAGACCATCCTCAGGTGCGAATCCAGATGCAGCAATAGCTTGGCCAAGTTGGGTCGCAACATATGATTCGTCACCGTTTTGATGCAAAAGATTTTCGCTGACCAATTCTTGGAGCGCAGCGTTCATAACATTATACACTATCTTTTTGTCTGTGGTCCGATAAAGAAGGGTGCATTTCACGTAATCCTTGATCGCTTCAAAACCAGAGACGAGGCCCGTGGCTATAGCTTCCAGAATCGCCCTAAACAGGTATGAGCTCATGACTATTTCTCGTTCATTTTGGTCATCTACCTCTTGAGGCCACGCTTCTCTGGCGTTAGACAGCTCTCAATTGCTGGCATACCAGCTTCCAGCAGATCGCAGACTGCCTGTAGCTCGGACTTTCCACAAATGAGGTAGGTCTCGCCCGCCTCATCCTTTCCCTTGCGACCAGCCCGCCCACACATTTGGCGCCTTCAACGGTTAGTACGAGGTTTTTTGAAATGTGTAAGGGGTTGTCCCTACAGCATTGCTGGTCCCACCAAGTCACGTCCCATCCGAACACCATTAATAATGACCCTCCTGGCAGGAAGATTGACTCCGGCCGCAAGACTGCAAGTGGCTATGAGAACCCTCAAAACGCCTTGATCGTAAGCCTGCGCTATGAAATCACGTTCTTCTGTTGTCATGCCCGCATCTAGAACAAAGTCAGTCCGTATCAATGCGAAGCGGTAGTCGCCCTGAAGTACCTACGGTAAAAAGCCACGCCTCTGACTAATGTATTCTCGAGAACTGGATCAAGACCACTTGGAAGACTTCGTAGTTCGGCGAGCAGGTCCAATCGTCTGCTTAATTCATTTGGATCTACTGCGGCTGGTATTGGCATTGCTTCACTAATGATAGAAGCATGAAGTTGACAAGCTTGTCTGCTACCGCAGAAAACCAATGCACCATATCCTGCAGCAGCCGTATCGACTGATAACGCTACCGTCGCATTTGTGGTTGGATTTGCAAATGCTCGAGATGTTGGGGGCTGGATTATACGATGGGGAGGCATAGTGTCCGTAAGGGATATGGTGGACATTGATGGAGATTGTGTGATTGTCTGGAATAGCTGCCTCGAGGTTTCTGCGGGATAAATCGCGTTCTCATATACAAGATAGTCATCGATCGGAATAGGCCGATATGTTGAGATATAGTAATTTGCATTCATCCACTCTGCAAGTAATTCAGTGTTCTGATGGTCTGTCAGGCTGCTTTCTAAACATCGACACTATTGACAAAGAATAGCCATACCGACAAAGTGGCGCTCATGCCAATGATCTGGATATCCTGCTGCAGCAGAAGGATCTTGGTGACCATTAGCTCCAGAAGATACCCGCGATGCTCATCATCAAGCATATGCAGCTCGTCCAGGACAACGACACCCAAATCTCCGATGGTGTGTTCTTCGATAGCAGTGTTGATGAGTGAATTAGCCTAATATATATTAAATATGTCCAGTATACAACTGCATACAGCGCTGACAAACCTTCTCAATAGTGCAAACCGCAATATCTGTATTGGCCCAGGTATCGGTTGACCTGCTTCCTCCGAAGAAACCAGTGACTCGGATCGACTTTTGTAGCTTCTTCCAACGTTGATGGTATGGATTTGCACCACCTGCTTGATCATCGATGTCGTCGATGCGTTTTTCAACATCCTGAACCATGCGTTTAAGCCATTTCGACTTTTCCTGGACTAGTGCGACGTATGGAAGAACCAAAATGGCTTTACGAGAAGGATTCTCGATGATACGTTTCAGCATCAGAACATCAGCTACAAGAGACTTCCCTCCTCCTGTAGGGGCCGTATAGACCAAATGCTTTTCACCCTCAAGTAGACCCGGGGCAAGCAGACATGAAGCCTGCCATGGATAGATGCTTTTGACACCAACAGAAGCAAAGTTAGATACTAGCGCCGGTGACAATCCATACCGGGGATTTTCTAAGAATAAACAAGGGTCATAGACATAGTCTTCACTGGGGACTGTTTCCGGTTGCTGCTCCTCCTTTGTTTCTAGTATACTTGCCGCCACAGGACGGATCTCGCTGGCAGTTAGACGACTCCTGGAAGGGGCCACAGAAGGCCGGACAAAATCGACTGGACGAGAATTCAAGTGGCTGGTAGAGGTAGGGTGACTTGGAACGGGAACTTTATGAGCATTGTCCTGGTCATTTTGCTGACGAGCAACATCAATGGTGGTCTGGAAGCCATGGAACTGAAATGGCTGACCGGACCGCGCTGACATGTCTTGGGCATTTATCACCTGACAACAGGTGTGATGGTAAACAAGCTACCATGAATATACCCAATACCAATGACAGTAGTTCAGGGGGCACCAGCTGCTTGGAAATTAAGTGTTTACATTCACAAATACCGACAGCTCGTGGTCTTGTATTTCACCTCAGCACCTGTAGTAGAAATAAATTATATGCTGATTATTTACGGTCCGTATCAAGAAGGTGTTCTGAGGAACTTTCCTGGATTCTAAGTAAGCAAGATGCTGGTAATAATACTAGTAGAAAATTCAACACTTAAGTAGGAGGTAAGAATCACGATCAATGAGAGGCAACAACGCGCAACGCGGTCATTGTGGGATTCTACCTAGTACTAGTAATTGCACCTAGCCCCAGTCGCCGTAGCCTGAGGCAGAAAAGCCCCTGGGTCTTATCATTGGCCTCCGGAACGCTTTCAATAAACAAACACTTCATCTCTGCCTAAGGCTCCAAGGCGGATCGGAAATGCAGCCAATTCCCAGCGCAAAACGTTCCTGGATCGTCTCATCCGCTAACCGGAGCCCTGGTGATCAGCAAGCCCATTGAGGGATGAGTCGCGGCAGTCGCCTAACCCAACAAAGATTGGCCTGCTTTAGTTCAATAACTCACCCGGATAAGTTGTACCCAACGCGGTAATCTAACTACCTGTCCACCATGTTTGCAGAGGGCAAATGGGAGCCCACCGATTCCCACCCTTGGATCCAGTATGTTGGACGGCCGCCCTCAAGCACAGACATATTCCATTCTTCTATTTTCCGCGCCTCTGAAGATTAAATAAAATATTTTAGTTACGGGTAAGTGTGTGAATAATTCATGATTCCATTCAACATCCAACACAATAAATTTATGTATACTATAGAGTATTAGATACTATCTTTGGCCTTGATCATATTCTGTTTTCTAGTTATTCAGTCATCCTCTCTGTCGCTTCTGCTCGGGTTGAGAGGTTGAAAGGGCGGTTTATACCCTGCACAATGATCACCTGATGATACTTGCCTCCCACTACTGACTAATTTGCCCTGGTTGTTATGCTCCGCAACTGTGTACACGAGTGGCTTGGAGTGCTCCGTACTACTAGTTATTGACGTCCCCCTTGACGCCGGATGTCTTCATTACATTGTCCCCTCACTTCTAACTCGTTAGTTCCCTGAGGATCATAAATATAGAAGGGTCTGGTTGATTTCTCATTTTTTGTATACTCATGTATTGTAAAAAAAAAAAAAAAAAAAAAAAAAGGAAAGCGGAAAGTGGAAATTTATGCTACCACACACGGGTGAGTCGGGCGAAAGGCCATGGCTTCCCAGAAGGATGGATGCCAGAAAAGAAAAAAAAAATTCATCCGTGGTCCACTTGGATGTGACCACCACGGCCGAAACCAAGTAGCAACTTGAACCTTTTACTAAGGCCCTACTGGGTATTACTCTTACTCCGTATGGAGCTTTTCATTATATTATTATTTTATTATTATGCTCTCACAACTCATGGACATAATCAAATCCGTTTTTCATTGCCTAAATAAGCAGGAGGGAAATGGCTGAAAGAAGATACATTTGCTTGTCTTTCCTCGGGAACAATTAAGCTCCTATCACCTTTGCCTAAAGAGATGACCACAACCCTCATATTGCCAACTTGAATATATTTTTATTTTTTCAGCCTAGCGAGCTAAGGTTAAGATGTAATGTGATTGGGTAGACCGTCAGATGACGAGAGATAATTCGACACTGGACAGTAAGCGATGATAGATATTCTTTGGTACAATCGTTCTCACAGCTTAGCGTTGGCCATCTTAAACCATGTTATGGTTAAGAGTACAAGTAATAGATTTGACCACTCACTGCTAGATATAAGGCTGCACTCAATCAAACCCAAAAGGACACGCGGCGTCAAGGCTTCTTTTAGTCGAAAACGCACCAGACGCTAGACTACTACCGATACTACCAATATTGTTGACACTCACTCCCTCCAATTTACCCTTACCCGAGACGGACATTTTGTTTCGGTCGTGTGGCAGGTTATAATGTGGCAACTCAAAGGCCAGGACAACCACCGGGCAACAAATCATCGGCCGTGGAGAATTCGTCTCTTGTTGCGGTGATTGTCATTGGCCCGAGTTAATGGTGGTATATGATCTAACAAGTACCTAAGGTACGTAGGTCGCTCGACTGGTTTAGAGTTAACGTCTAGGACCTTCGTATCAGAGCGCACTGGATCGGAGGCAAATGCAACTGAGAATTTTATTGATTGATTGTCGGCCGTTGACCCGATTCATACGCGGATTGCGTTTGTTGATAAGACCGTTGCGGTTGCATAATGAAGAGAAGGATAGCCAAGACAAAAATCGAGCCAGAGAAGGTCCGCCCTCGCGGGGGAGACCCCAGTAAGACCTCAGTGCCCTACATAAAATCATAAATGACGCTAAGGGCTTTCCTCCGCGGCCACCGGAATGTGTTATCATCACCTCAACCTTACTGTGATGGCCCCCTTTCAGTCGGACGAAACAATTTTGTTTTTGTTTTACCTTCTATCAGCATCGGCACGCCATTATCCTTGACAGGCTATCTCATTGTCATGACAGATCAGCTGTAGTCTACATAAAGAACCTCCATGATTGAGGATCTACTGTGTAGCTGCTAATCACCGCTAACCGCCTAGCCTGCAGGAAATGGAACCATGGGACCTGCACCATGCTCCCTTTCTCTATGGTCATTTTGAACCGAGTTTTCGGTCGTGGACCTAAGTAGTAGGTAGAACCTTACCATTTTCAGAGATACGTATCCATCCACGCCCTCCTCTGATCGCTCGGTTGTACAATCCATTTTGCAAAATACGCCCCTCCACATCCCCCCTCGTAAAATATTATTCTAGGCACTATCGATTAAGTTGTTTGGCGAGGGTTGTGATTACCGTTACTTAACCCGACACTTAGGGGGGGAAATAGGTCCGACAAACTTCATCTCTACCCCCAAGATCGTTTTCATACCAATAAATATGTAGCTATCTGAGGATACCTAACTTACTTATCTAGTAGTTAGTTCCCAAGAGTAAGCCCTCTGTGCGAACCAGTATCACTCCGTGCTCTGACCCGGCATCATTCATCGGATGATATCATCCCCACCCAAAAAAGGTCAAGTTGGTTGTTCTGCAAATTCTGAGACGTGGGCAGATTTCCAAAAAGAAAATGACCTGCAGTAATAATGCGGTATCACCCATCCGTATACTGTACCCCTACTTCGAACTTACCGTCTACCTTCTGGGAATTTATCCCCGGTAAGATAGGAGTATCATGGATCCAGACAACTTAGTATCATCTTAGTGCGCCATAGTAATATTAGTTCGTAATTATATGAGCATGAGAGTCAGCCTACTGTCTCTCCTCCGCTTCAAGACATGCTGCGCCTGCTTTTCCCTCGATAGACTTGGCATTTGGGATTTTCCAGATCCGCGCATGCGCTGCCCTACGTGACAACATTCCTGCCACAGATTATGTGTCTCCAATGTCCATACCCTCTTTCCTAATTTCCATATTTTACTTTTGCTTGATCTTCCGTCCCCTCCCCTCCCCTTCATTTTCGAGGGGGAAAGAAGCCTGTTGTTTTTCTTCAATGGAGTACAAACTTGGGTAGAATGAATGAACAACGGAAATGCTAGTCTGGTTTAGGCCATCTTTTTTATATTTAAACATAGAAAATTCTCTTTTCATCCTCCATGATTCTCATTTTCATTTTCATTTTCTATCTTTCTTTCTTTCTTCCATGTTCTTTTCGTTTTCCCCTTTAAGACACTCTGCACGAGTCCTTCTGGTTTTATCCCCTTCCATCGAGCCCCGTCCTCGTCCTAATTGATCCTTTCCATGGCCCCTCCCGGGTATCAACATCATTCTTTACATCGGGTCGCTCGGCCCACACAATCCCTTTCTAACAAGACCAGCGACAAGCATCCGTGATATTGCTAAAACGTATCCCGCTAAACCCAGTAACCACGTAGATCACCCAGCGGGCCACAACGCCGCGTTAATAGAGTAAGGGGAACAAAGTAATGGCTATACTATAGGCAATACCACCCACCCAAGGGAAAAAAAAGAAAGCAAAAAAATTAGAAAATGCTTTAGCGACGCGGGAAGGCTAGCCAAAGCACCGGGACACTGGACCATGTATTAAACCATAAAACGAAAAGGAAAGGAGAGTAATCGCGATTTTCTCTGGTTCTTGGTGGATGGAGGATCCGTCATATTAACATATCGGGACTAGGGGCGAGGACGTGGACTGGTCGGGATCCTGGACGGCTTTCCTGATTCTTCTTGTCTCTTTCTCTTCCCTCTCTTCTTTACTCTCTCTTTCTCTGGGCTTGTCGCCTTTTCCATTCTTGTCCCACTTCTTCCTCTGCATGTTTCTCTCGTCCCGATTCTACTTATGTTAGTCTACCATCTTCCCTTCTACTCTTCTCCCTTCCTTGTGCCTATATCATTTTGGCCCTCGCCGTCTCGGTAGCCCTGGTCAAACCTTCTAGCTACGGCCGAACTACGAACTAGTTCCGTCCTGTTGGTTACGGCCTACTGATCCATTTGCTATTTGGAGCACTCACCCCACGAGCCTAGTGGTTTGATTTCTTCTACCACCGTTACCTTCATTTGACTATTTTGACAGCTTCAGCGGCCCTTCTGTCTTTCCTTCTCTTCTCTTCCTACCTCCTTGATTACCTTTTTGGTTTTCTTTGCTTTATCGCATTCTGCTCCTGTACATCTTCCACACATCAGTGTTCCGTTTCCCCTGCTGTTGCCACGGACTTCTTTCACGTCCACTTAGTAGTCTATTCTGGTCATCTTTCGGGGCCTGTCGATCTTGATATTCCTCCCGCACATCTGGTGCATTTCATTTTCCGACATTGGCACAACACTGATTTTCCCACTCCCTTGCGGGAATTAGAGGAGTCTCAACGGGGGAGAAAAGAAAAGAGGAAAGTTATTACCGACCACTGGGATCCGCCGTCAAAGTATCACTTTCAGTCCTTCGTGCGGTCAACACCGCACCACAGGGCCTTTTCGTCTCCCTTCCGACTTTGACTTCCCCCCCTTCATATTCCATTCGGTTGATCCATACGACCATTACATCCGCCCATCTGCAAACTCACGCTTATGAGGGCTCGACTAACCGCTACGGCTTGTTGCTGAAGTTCACATCACCGTGCTGTAGGCAGTTTTGCAAGGCCTTGACGCCACCTTGAGGGGGTTATATGCCACCCTCCAACCCATCTTGATTTAGCTTTTGTTTTTGTCGCGTCTCAGGGTTGGCCATGGCCTCGGATAGGTCACCGCCCCAGAAGTCGCAGCAACACCACGTGAGGCCCAATTCTTCCTCTTCCGCTGCAGCAACTGCCGCGGGTCAACGTCGCATGCCCACCCCTGGCCAGTCATCCCGAACGGGTTCTGCCGACTCTCCCATCCCCCAAGGGCTCGCCACCCTCAACGAACGGCAGTCCCAACCCATGACTGCCAGTACTTCAACTTCAGAAGTTGCGGGTACGGAGCCGCCGAGTACCTCCGCCACTCCTGCGCCCTATGGGACGCGCTCCAGAGGTCGTAATGCGGCTCCTCGCCCCAACTACGCGGAGGACCGTGACATCGATATGGACTTGGAAATCGCTCAACCCGCAACCAAAGCTGCGAAGCGAACTAACGGTGTGCCTAACCAATCTGCCAATGGCACTAAAACGGATGGCGACAAATCAGCGCCATCTTCAAATTCTCGTAAAAGTCAAACGGCGGTGAATGGAACTAGTCCCGCTTCTGCTGCCAAAGATTCAATTCCTGGTACCTCGTCCTTCTCTGCAAAACTGGAGGAAGCCAATGGTGCTTCAAATTCAAGAAAACGAAAGCAACCGGCCAGCGCTACGACTTCCAGTTCCGCAAATGGGAGCGCATCTAAAAAGATCTTTACCACGGCCCCCGGCGCCAGTCAAGGCCAGAGTGACTCAAACTCGAACATGGTCTCTTTTGAGAATCGAGGCGCTCATCTAGAAGATGGCAAACTAACAGCTGACGATGGCACAACGTTTTCCGTAAACGGTCAGTTTTCTTTTTATTTAGTTTAATTTTTTTTGTTCCCAATTTGTTCATTCTATGGAACGAGTTCAATATCCCGGAAGTTACTGAGACTTGAGTATAGACCACGTTTACCTCATCTGTGAACCCCCAGGAGAACCGTATTACTTGGCACGTATCATGGAGTTCATTCCAAACAAGGATGTGCCTTCCGGTTCCATTGAGGCAGTGCGCGTTAATTGGTATTACAGGCCACGTGATATACAGCGCAAAGTTGCAGATACGAGACTTGTGTTTGCATCCATGCATTCCGATACATGCCCGCTTACTTCGTTACGGGGAAAGTGTCAGATTAAGCACCTCTCGGAGATTGACGATCTTGAGGAGTACAGAAAGACTCGGGACTGTTTTTGGTATGACAAGATGTTTGACAGATATATTCATCGGTACTATGAGGTCATTCCTACAAAAAGAGTGATCAACGTCCCAGCGAATGTCAAAAGAGTCCTTGATGATCGCTGGAAATTTGTTCTTGTCGAGATCGGTAAAAGGAAAGAACTGACCAGCGCCGTCAAAACCTGCAAGCGCTGCAGTTTGTATGCTGCGAGGTACGTATGACTATACCTGTGAGTCGATGTTACCATATACTCATATTTTGTAGCACTGATTCCGTGGATTGCGCCGTGTGCCACGATACATATCATATGTATTGTGTACGACCTGTTCTTACCAAGAAGCCCGCTCGCGGATTTGCATGGGCTTGTGCGGCCTGCAGTCGTGCCCAGGAGCGGAAACTTGAGGCTCGAAACACTCCAATCCTTGGAGAGTCCCAAGCGGAAGTTGAAGAAGAAATCGTCGAAGAGGAGGAGGAAGAGCCCAACGGTGCGAACGGCACAACAAGCAGCACCCCTGCCGTTGTCGAAGAAGAAGCCCCTCGGCCAGCCACAGAAGAACAGGTTGCGCAGGCCAGGATGTGGCCTTACCGCTATTTGGGCATACACTGCCGTGTTGAAGATGCGCTGGACTATGACGACCGGATATATCCTCGAGCAAGCTCTCGGTTGGGACCGCGGTTCCAGGCGATCGTAAACCCTTGGCCAGGGCGCCCTGTGGAATATGTCAAGCCAACCGATATCAAGAAGAAATATATGAAAAGTTCTGGAGGTCGCAAGGACTCGAAGCTCTCGAAAGAGGCCCTAGCCGCACTTGAAGCTGCGAAGCAAGAGAAGGCAAACAGACCAAAATGGGTTATGGATGAGCCGCAGGGATATGTACGACGCGGTGAAGATGAGCCGGTTACCGTGAACGGCAAGCAGGTGCGCACAGCGGAGTTAATGTTCAAGATGCCCACTGCGACCCAAATACCCTCTCGGGGCGAAGACGATGCGCCTGGTGCGGATCTCAGCGCTGCGGATCGAGAGAAGCTCATCGACGACTATATGGCTAGAGCAAAGGAGATAGCGCCTGATCTTGGGGTCGAAAAGTACTCAACAAATTTCCTGGATAAGGCTTTGGAGTTGCTCTATGCAAACAGTTTCGATGTCGAGACTGCTCTTTCGAAATTGAAGCAGATGAACAAGTACAAGGATCTAAAGGAACCCCATTTGCGTCCTGAAGAAGTAAAAGCCTTCGAGCAGGGCGTTGCGAAGTACGGATCGGAGTGGCGGAACCTGACGAAACACGTCGGTACTGTACCGCATTATCAAATTGTGCGGTTCTACTACATGTGGAAGAAGACAGCCCGCGGTCACCAGATCTGGGATCATTATGAAGGTAGGCGGGGCAAGAAGGAAGCCAAACGGAACAACCCCGCAAAGCTTGTGGATGACGTGGCAGATGATTATGATGATTCAGCCTATGATAATGAGAAGGCCGTTGAGAAAAAGCGTGGTTTTCAGTGCAAGTTCTGCTCTACACGTACTTCACGCCAGTGGCGGCGTGCCCCTGGGATCCCGCCCGGAACTACAACTCCAAGCGAACCATCCTCAAAACAACGAGATAAGGGGCCACAGCTTACGGTAGCTCTCTGCTTACGATGCGCTCTACTATGGAGAAAATATGGAATTCAGTGGGAGAATGTCGATGAAGTCGCCAAGAAAATATCTCAAAGTGGCAACAAGTCGTGGCGCCGGCGTGTTGATGAGGAGCTGCTGACACAGCTCCTTATTTCCACCGAGACTCCGATTAGCATCAATAGTGCAACCGCTGCCACTGCTGCCTCGATTGGTGTTCCTGTGACAGCCAACCCTCAAGTACAAGAGGCCACAAAAAAGAAGGGGCGCACCAACGACAAGGACAGTGGCGCGACTTCAACTGCTACATCCGTGGAACCGGCACCGAAGAAGAAGCCGGCACCAGAGAAGGCCCCAGAACCGGCACCGATTGTCCCCGATCCACCCAAGGCTAAAACACTCCCTTGTGCCGTCTGTAACAAGATGGAACCTATGGGCGACCAACATTTATCCTGTAGGGATTGCCGGCTAACCGTTCATCGAAGCTGCTACGGAGTCAGCCCGTCACGGAATTGCGTCAAATGGCTATGCGACATGTGTACCAATGACAGAAATCCCTTGTTCTCGACTTGTTACGAGTGTGTTTTGTGTCCTGTGACCTGGACAGAGCATGAGTTGATGGAAGCTCCAAGGTCGACACACAAGAAGAAGACTGAGCGGGATCGGGAAAAGGAGAGGCTAGAGAAGGAGATGGTTAACGAAGCTATCAAGCTTTATCGGCAAAGGCAGGAAGCCGTAGGCAAGCCGATCGGTCCTCGAGAACCTCTGAAGCGGACTGATGGTAACAACTGGGTACATGTCGCTTGTGCGGTTTGGACTCCTGAGATCAAGTTTGCCAACTCCAAAGAGCTTGAACCGGCTGAAGGATTTGCACTCATTCCGGCAGACAAGTACCGCGAGGTTTGCAAAATCTGCAAGTCAAACAGTGGTGCTTGTGTGCCATGCCATTTCAGCGGCTGCAATGCTCAGTTCCATGTCGGTTGCGCGTTCCAGGCGCAGTACACATTCGGCTTCGATATTACACCCGTTAAGAGCTCTAAGAGAGATACTGTGCACAGTGTACGACTTAGGGATGAAGTAGGAGTAGCCTCCGCGGGAATTTGGTGCCCCCATCACATAGTACCGTCTGTTGTTCATGCAGTAGGCGAGCCGACGGAGGAAGAAGGTGTCAACGCCCTCCAGCGATTTGTCCAAAACTACAAACAAGCCGACCTCTCCTTGACTGGGACTCTGCGTAGAGCGGCGTATGTTCAGCAGTCTGTCAGTGCATCACAACACAATGCGACGTCGGCCGGACACCGACGGGCATCCGCTGTCAATGGCGTTACCGCTCCTCCGCCTACAACGAAGGATAACTCTAAGAATACCGGGGTGTCCACTGAGGAAGCTACAGACGAGATGGCTATTGATTCCGAGAATCATGCACCCGCCCAGATCACTGGCACGGAGGCAACAAGAAAATGTGCGCGTTGCTCTACCGCATACACCCCTCGGTGGTGGCCTATCGATAAGTCGCGGCGAACCACGGCTGCAGATCACAGGGCACCCCTACTCAACGGAGCTGGGATGAATGAACCAAGATTTCCGCCTGCGGCCTCAGCAAGCCCACCATATATTCATCGAAATCCCTCTCAGCATTCTCTCACAAAGCTTAATGGTGAATTTAATCCCGCTGATAGGAATGGACTAGCGGGTAATGCCGAAGCATCATTGGGCCAACAGAATCAGGAGTCATACGAGTGTCATAAATGCCATCTCAAGCAGATACCTGCCGGTCCTGCCCAACCCTCTCCAGAGCCTCGGCCGTCTCCTTACTCGGCTCAGCGGCCAGTCCTCCCCGCACCACGTCTTCCAGAATATCACAGCCATCCTTACGCTCCTCATTCCCATCCTCCTCAAACCGGGGTGTTGCCTAGGCCTCTTGGTCCGCCGCCTTCTAATGGACCAGAATGGTATCCGGGATATGAACAGCGTCCCGGCGATTATGGGGATAAGCTTCGCAATGGCATTCCAGTTGCTAGCTACCGCGGAGGGCCTCCACCACCCCCACCGCACCATATGAATGGCTTCCAGCCCGCTCCTTCACACCATGCCCCGCCGCATCATTACACGAGCGGAGCTCATCCTCCTCCTCCACCTCCCCAGCCGTTTCCCACTCACCAGAGCCCTTATGGGCCAGTCTCTATACCCTCTCCCCATCTTTCTCACCCGGCGGGGCCCCGACCATACGCCCCATCGGCGTCACCTCCAGATGTGCACTCAACGATGGTTCGACATTCTCCACAGCACTCACTCAGTGCATTGAACGGGGGACCACCGGCACGTGTATACTCTGCCGACCGCGTTCTTAGTGCGCCAACGCAGTCCCCTCCGGTTTCGCAAGCACATGTTGACCCACGAGGTCGGACCCCACCAGTGAAATTAGACGATACACCTGTCATCGCGCCCGCAGGTCCGACGAGCAGCAGCAGGCATACAAATATTAACGGAACAAATGGCAGTTCTGGTGCCAGCGCAAGCCCATCGCTCAAGAATTTACTCTCTTAAGCCTTATTGCAGTTCTATGCTTGCAGAACCTTAGAAGGAGGATTTCCAGGGATGTATGATATAGCTCTATTACGTTATTGTTCTTTTCTTTTCTTTTCTTTTCTTTTCTTTTTTTTTAAACTCTACTTTGGCATCTCCTTCGTGTTGTTTGGATCGTGTGGCATTTAAAAATGGGGTTTGGGTTCTTGCCATCAGCGTGGTTCTAGATTAATCCGTTACTATTTCCCCCCCTTCCTTCCCGTTCGTCTGTATGCATCTTCTTTTCCTTTCTTTTCTTTCCTTTTTACTTTTCTGGTTCCTACATCACGAGCATGATATATTTGGGTTACACCGCCGTCCGCAATAGCCCAAAAGTATTCAGGGTGGCATGGACTGGGAGTTTCACATATTAGCGTTGAGAATTGTTTTCCACGGCTTCCGATGTATCGTCCATCATATGAAAACACGGTTGCGCGAGGTCTCATTGGGCCGTCGGCAGACGAGTGCAGTTTGAACTCTTGATAGAAGAAGAGAAGCGGGGTAGATACTACAAATGATAATACTTAGTATGCCGTTTCCAGTGTCGTTTCTTCTTTCGTGGTATGGATCGACGGGGACGATCCCGGACGCGAGGGACTAATAGGAAGCGCAGGGAACCTGGTCAAATATTTACATTGACCCGAGCGCCGAAGGCAGTTGGACGGCTGATGCAATGCGCTGTGACAGGGGATCGTCACCGGGCTTTTGATTTGTCTATGGTTGAGCCTCAGATAAAGGCGAAATGGAAGGATTATTATATTAAGTGGTTAGTGCTTATTAGTGGTGCTTTCCATTGCTAGTTTTATATTGGTGGCTCCCGAGTTAGGTTTGACAATTCCCACTTAGTTGCGACTAGGGGCGGAATCTGGAATCTGGACCCCGGTCTGCGATTCGATCGATTTATTCCTTACCTGCATCGGTTCACCATGACGGTTCTGCAATTGTATATAGGACGGGGGAGTGCCGTTCGGTGTGTAAATATCCTTTCATACTTTTACAACGTACCGAAATTCCATGAATATTATTAATTATCAGGTATCGACGCATGTACGCCGGACCCGTCCTTGCATCAAGCTCAGAACTTTAACGTCGTCGATCCTACACAGAATGCATGAACCACATTCCAAGGTCGACAACAACATTATTGCTCACGCGAGAACACTTGATACATACAGATACCTCCATACATACATACTCTGTACATGTCCATGCGCCCGCAACTGACACTGGAAGGGAACCATGTGATAGCTTGGTTTCCCGTGGGGCTCTTTTTCCCTGTTCAAGGATACCCTGTGGTTGGTGGATTTTCCGAACGAATGGGCACGACGGGATTTGCATTGATTCACGTTGGAGGCACAGCAAGGCCACCGGCGCCGATGCCCTGCTGCCGAGAGCCAGGCAAACAGTACCAGCGCATCAAATATCATTCTTTCAGGCGAAACACCAGGATCCAGAAATTCCCCGGATTCTCTGGAAGGTTATTTACAAAGGTTGCTCACGTAAGAAACTGCAGAGAGGGGGGTGCGCGCAATCTTTGCCACCTGTCACAACGGTTGAGGGGATGAAAATTTGTGGTTATCTCATTTATTTGTTCGGTTGATCATCCATCACATCATACGAACCACATTCTTGAGGTGTGAGTCGACGTCAGCGGTTGGTTGCCACTTTTTTTTTTTTTTTTTTTTTTTTTTTTTTCGCGCAAGGCTAAGGTTAAGTCCTTACAGCACAGAAAGTGCTTATGTGCCATGCGCATGGAAGTTCTAGAAGATGATGAACTTCTTGTTGATTACATATCCGCATTGGCAATGCGGAATTTAAATTACAATCTGTACTGTACCGCAAGAGGGGGTGTAACAGACAGAGAGATTGAAGAAGGCTGAGTATCTTAGGGTAGTACTTGTACCTAGGTAAGTAGATGATCTCAATCTATCCGTACCAAACACTTCCGGTAATAATTTACCCAGCAATCCTAAATTACAATCCTTCATTGAATCTAACGATAGATTTAGTGGTGATTTAGGAAATTCAGCCGGCATTCTAGAAAACCCACGGAGATTGAAAGGAACTAATGAGATTGTTTGCTTTAAGCGTCATCCTCTCCACTCTCTCCGCTCACTTTATCTCGCCAGTGTTGGTCACTTCTTAATAATATTTTCTTTTTTCTTTTTTTTTTTTTTTCTAACCTGTTACGAACCTTCACCCGATTCGTGCGTCCGTGTCCCCTCATTTGTGGCTCAGCTCAGTTCTGTCGAGTTTCTAGTCTTCTTCCTTACATGCTGCCCGGAGACCGGATTGGACACATATCACGATCATCAGGAAATTGGGTGGTTCCTCGTCCGGTTGGGTAGGGATTCCACTGGTTGGTAAGGTACTTACTTGTCGTGTTTTTATCTCCCAAACCTTTTCCATCTTGAAGATGTCTGACTTGGTTCCTGTCATGGTGATGAACCCCATGCAGGGAAGATACAAAATCCCCCACCCCATTGACGTATGAATGAATTATACCTACATCAATTAATGAAACCACTGTAAAAGAAGGCCAAGGGTTATTAATAGTAAAAAGAGACTAGTAACTGGCAGGTATGGAAGACGTACTGGAGGACCTCCGACAGGATTAACGATACACCACATCGGTTACCCTATCAATACCTCTCCGTATGTAATAAATACCTTACTCTACCTACAGATCGGCCCCATCGCCGAGTCTGACGACGCCCACACCCGCCGTGCCGCGACCTTCTGGAAGTCTGGAAGAAAGCCTGAGCGAAGGGGAAAAAAACGAAGGAAAAAGAAGTCAGTCTCACAAAGCGCACGCCGCTGACCTCTACCTTTCCGGAGCTGGCATTTCCTACTGGACGGTTTATCTTCATCTGTTTCCATTGCCCTACTTGGACGGAACTGAACCTTCCCTCTGTTCTCCAGAGTTATACTTACATTTGCGCCAACCGATAGGGCCCTTGGATCGGAATTACCCAAAGAACCTCAATCAATCCACTCGTCCTCCACTCTTCTTCCCACTCCCTGAATTCGTTCCCTCCTTCCATCATCTATCGTCTTCTTCTTCTCCTTCTTCTTCTTCTCTTCTTTCTCATTCTTCCCTTCCTTTTTGTTACAATCTTATTCTCCTGTCTGAACAATTTCATTGACGACTATCTGCACATTATCTCCCTTTTTCATTTTCCTTCGCCTCTCTGTGCCAACATCCCCCTTTGTACAAGTACTCAACCGGCCTCATATCTGAACGCACACCTCCGGTCTTTCACCTACCCTCGGACTATTGTTCCCGTCTTCTATCGTCGTTTCTTTGCTTCGTCGACTTTTTTTTTTGCTCTCCTAATAGACGCCTTGATTGTCGATCGTCGGCGCGACCGCACGCTGTGCTCCTCTTCTTCACCTTTTTGAGTCTCGTGTCATCATTTTCCCGTGTGGCCCTGCCCGTGGCCCACCATGACGCCCTAAGATTTCCCGCTTCTGGGCCTCGAATTTTGTCGTCCTTGATTTCGGCGAATCTTACCTGAGTCGCGATCCCGCGGGGTGCTCCTAATCGGTTTCTATCGGCGGTGATTTTGGTAGTGCAGAACAGCACAGCACTTAGCAATTGGCCCACACCAGGTCGTGTTTCGCTCTCGGTCTCTTTATTCTCTCGACCTACCGAACTTTGCAGACCCCAAACGTGAGTGGATCCCGTGTACGTGTATGTGGCGATCGTGGTAGACTGCCATCTGGAGGCTTGTGTATGGAACAAAGAACTGGATGTCTCGGAAACAGAGACTCTGGGCAGGTATTTCGCTCTGGGCAGGTTGACAATTGATCAAATCCCTGTGGACAAGTACAGCGAACAATCCATTGTTCGAATGCGCACCTGCAGCTGCTTCTTGGGCGCAGTCCTCTTTGATCCTCTCCATCATACTGGCTTCGCCGTGTCGCCCACATACACTACATCACCAAAACTTTGCATATGGTTGCTGACCCGATAGAACGCAAAAAAGATTAGGGCCGTTGCTCCTTACCATTTCTCAGTCTCTCCTTTTTCATTTCACCTACCGTCCACCCTCACCTTCTCTACCTACTCTGCCAGCCACTCGTTTTTCCGTGTTTCATTGCTTCGTTTCCCCGTAATTATTCGCGCTGCAACCTACACTATCAACTCGGTGTTAGCCTTATGAGACCGAGTTTGAACTGGGTAGAATATTGTCTTCTCTTTGACCGATCTATTACTTCTCTTGTCCATCCATCACACATTGAACTGGAGAAGCTCTAAGCTATGGGTGTGCCGAACCCAGTCGACAGCATGGATGGTGTCGAATGTTCGGCCGTGTATATTGATCGCCGTGTCGTCCAAGAACGGTGGGTGTATCAAAGCCCAACTGATTCCTCGAATACCTCCAGTTCCGGTGCCTCTACATTTCCTGACGAACCCGATTCTCTGAGATCAGATGTGGAAGTTCTACTGGGGGTCTGCAAACGGAGTATGTCTTATGTTCACCCAGTGCTTCGCGCGGTACTGTTACTGACTGAAGTCTCCGGTATAGTTTATCTTTGTAATGTTGGCCCTTCTCTCGCATCCAAACTCGCCGAACTTAGTGACGACGCCCTCACAACGTGCCGACCTATCTTCGCGTTCTTTGACGTCGATTTGTCAGGGGAAGACGCCGGCTTATCCCGTCGGAAAAGTGGCCGGGGCTCATGGCCCGAGGTATCTCCTCCATCTCCGGCGTCTTTGCGTCGCGGCTTCACCTTCTCGTCTCAGTCCGAAGGGGTACACGATCTGAAGTTGTTGTCGGGACTGTCTGCCGACATTCAAGTCCAAGAGTCCCCAAACTTAATCGTCCCGGTTGCTGTCTTGCGCTCTTCTGCTCAAGTCCCTAGTAGTGTGTCTGTGGACCCCCAGCGCAATGGGGCGATGCCCGAATTTCAGCAGATATCGAAATGCTTAGATGCGGGCGCCGTTGACGTCTTAGCGTCACCCCTGAGCAACGCTAGGATGCAGGGCCTTGTAGTCCACGCCTTCCGTGCTCGCAAGTCCGCTTTGAGAGAACAGTCGCGCTTCATGTCCAGAAAAAAGTTGCGCAAGCATTCGTGGGTAGGTGTACACGATGAGCAGCCATATGCCTACTTAAGAGAAGCAATGTGAGTTCATTCTGATGGTTCCAACCATCATTAGCTTCGAATGCAGTGCTGACTGTGTTGTGTAGGGTGTCGAAGCTTATGAAGGGCATCTGCAATCCCGAAGAGGTGATAGAAGAATTCCAAGATCAGTATGTACTGCAGTGCCTATAACACCAACTTGTCTAACTCACCATTCTAGGAGTGAATTAAATGTGAGCCCAGAACGTGAGGAGCTCATAAAAGAGCAGATCGGGAACTGGAACTTTACAGCTCATGATTTTTCTGATGATGAACTTGTGCTGGGGGCTTCTGAAATCCTGCACCATGCCTTCACTATGCCAAATCTGGAACAGTGGCAATTAACACCAGGTAAGTGAATCATGAAATCCTGTAGAAATCTGCTGAGATGGCTGATTGGGTATGGTTTTCGTGAATTAGGTGAACTTCGGACATTCTTACTCGCATGTCGTGCATCCTACAACTCCTTTGTTCTCTACCATAACTTTCGACATGCTATTGACGTCTTGCAATCTGTATTTTATTTCCTCCTTCACATCGGTGCTCTACCCCCTTATAGGTCAGTGACCCGAGACACTGATTCGAAATCTCCTATTGCATCCCTTCTCACACCCTTCGATACTCTTACGCTGTTGATTTCGGCAATCGGTCATGACGTGGGCCACCCTGGAGTGAACAACTTTTTCCTGGTCAAGCTCAACGCACCGCTGGCACAGCTCTACAATGACAACTCGGTGCTGGAGGCATTCCACTGCGCTGCCTTTTCGCAGATCCTACGCCGCTATTGGCCGTCCGCATTCAAGGATAAGCAGATTCGCAAGTTGCTGATCAGCTCGATCTTGGCAACAGACATGGGCGTCCATCAGAAGTTCATGGAGCGACTTGGGTCTTTGCAGGAGAAATTCTATGAGAACGGTCAGACTGTTGATGGATGGAAACCCCAGGATCTTGATATGTACAAGACCCTTCTATGTGGTCTGCTGATCAAATGCGCCGATATCAGTAATGTGGCGCGGCCATGGGATGTGGCTGAAAAATGGACCAAAATTCTGCAGGAGGAGTTCGCCAATCAAGGTGAAATGGAAAAGGAGGTTGGCATGGAAACTGCTTTGTTCGGCGGACCACCAGAACTCGGGAACGTATATAAACTCGCTATCGGTCAGATCGGTTTCATGTCTATATTTGCTCTTCCTCTATTCGAGGGTGTAGCGGATATCTTACCCGATATGCGATTCACCGTTGAGCATATTCGAAATAACCAATCCAGATGGCACCACCTCGCTGATTTGGAGAAACGAAAGCAGGCGTTACTGGACGAAAATGGCCCTGAAGACGTGGTATCTCCTTGTACTCAGAGCCCCGCTGTGAGTTTGAAGGGCTTCAAGGGTCTCCGCGCACCGTTAACGACGAGCGGACCGGATTCTTCTGCCAAGCAAGCATTACCAAGCAATGAAAACAGTTGTCGGCGCGAGGCAGATTACTTCGGTGCAGCCCACTCGTCTGTGGGTTCTGAGACCTCGCGCGGGACTTTAAACGAGAACACTATCAGCCCTGTCGTCTCTCCGGACACAGCCGGTCCTTCAATGGACATAACTGGAAATCCCTTGCCGTCGCAAACACCATCGCGCAAGTCCTCCAACGCTGTGCCAGATCTTGACATGGTCTCCATCGCAGGCGCGTCCCCAGAGAGAAATAGGGTTCGGACGGATTCCGGAGTATCAAATGGGGCCGCTGACGGCCACTCTTCAAGGGATCCCGCAGTTCTGGCCGCCGTAATTTGCTCTAACTCGCATAAGGAAGATGGTTCACACGATCTTTCGGGCGTCCGCAACAGTGCCGGGGAGATCACAGGCGAAAGACCGAGCAGTTCACGCAATGGTCCGCAAAACTATCGTCACCATCACGCCAACACTAACTCATCGGGACGCACATCTGGCCCATCGAACTCGCAGCGGAACAGTTGTACCCGAACCCACAGCATCAGCAACTACAGCAATAACATGACTCCTATTTCTCCTGCGACGAACGCAACCAGTTTCCTCACTGTAGATGACGGTGAGGACAAAGACTTTAGCCAGGAAAGCAGTAGCAGGAGCGATCGTGAAAGTGATAGAGGCGACGCGCGTCCAGGCTCTTCCAATATCGACCGGGAATCGGAGGGTCATCCACCACAGTCTAGCCATACTTCCCATTCTCAGTCGGATGAGATGAACAAGAATCATACTATGGCACCCGTGAGAGGGAACAGCAATGGCTATTCTAAACAGCCTGCACACTCCCCTGGAAGCCCAAAGCACGATGGCAATGGTCAGCAATGGGATGGATCCAGCGGCGGAGATCAGTCATCGCGCAAGTTGTTGAAACGTCGAAGTCGCCTGCGATTAGCATTCTGGAAACGCAAAACCCATCATTCTCACCATCATGAGCTGAGCGGTGAATCATGATGGTATCTATCTTTCAAGAGGATTTCATCGATCAATGTTCTGTTTGTTTTACATGGTTTCAAGGTGTTTCTGGCTGGGATTCATGTGGATCAATGGGAGGATTGGGTAATGCATTGGCTGATGACTCGATTAACGATGGAATTGCATGATGTTCACGACCGGCTCGGTTGACATACGAACCCGAGCAACCAAAAAGAAAAAGCATGGTTCCCGAGGTAGACGCGCGGAATGGCCCGCGATACTGGTATGTGCATGTTTTGAGTCCTTTCGGATGGCATCCCGATGACTATATCATGGCGCCACTGGCGATGCTCTCCGCACACCAGCAGTACTGGCTTTCCGGGTGTATCAATCCCACTTGTGGATCTCGGATATCCTGACCAGATGATATCTGAAGTCAGGGGTCAGCTTTTGACTGCAGGGACGCATTAAAACTCTTGAACCCTCTCTTATATATTCTTCTCCTTTTTTGTCAACCTTCTGACGCCTTCATTCTGTCCCTTGTCTCTTTTTCATTTTTCAATTTTTTTTCCTCCTCCTCGATATTCCCTTTTATTCCGTATTATTATCGTTCACTCACTTTGACCATTTCCTTGTTCTCCTACTGGATCTCTTCTACCGGATAGGCTTTGGGTTGGCGAACATAGAGTCAGGGCGTGGTTTTGGCGTTCTGAGGTTCACCAGATGGCTGGACTGTGCCTTACATTTCATTTGTGTTTAAAAACACGGGTCTATAGTTGCATTTCGCTGTCGCTTTTCTTTTCCAGTACCATGATTGTGCCATAGGCCAATGCAGTGATATATATATTTCACTCACCTAAGTCGTCGAGCGTGGTCTAGATCTTTCTAACCATCTTGTAGTGGTGTTATTGTCACCTAGTTATATATAGTGCTCTATGACATATCATAACTTGACGACAGTCTTACAGTAGTTTCGCGTGTCTATATATTAAAGGTATATCTATCCCTTGGAATCAGATGTTTGCCACGCAATCCCTTTCTTGCAGGCAGCCCTTCAGGACAAACCATACCAACTCAACTCCATCACCGACAATCCTCACACTCCTTCTGGTCCCCCTCTCCCTTCTCACCTCCCTCCTTCACAGACACACCAGTAGCCCTCAGCGCCCGATCCGTATGACCCAAGTCCCTGGACGGATCAATCACATTCCTCACCAACGACTTGAGCATCTTCACCTCTACAGATATATCAGCATCGCCTCCCTCCACACAAGCAAAACCCAAACCAATCAACCAACACCCAACCCGGCAGAAAAAAAAAAGACCAGAAACAATGAACGGGACTACCAGTACATACCAGGAAACCCCCCATTCGTCTTCCGATCCCACAAGATCGTCTCCTGTGTCCCCGTCTCCGTTGACGGGGAATGGTATATCGTTACTGTGAAGATACCCCCCGTGGCCGGGATGAGGGCTACCTCGCCCAGGTCGGTGCTGAAGGTTGAGAGGAGCTCTTGGGCGAACTTTTTGGGAGGGGGGGGGGGGAGGTGTTAGTTTGGGGAAGTCGATAGGTTATACAGGGAATTTGGGGGGGAGGGTTGGGGTTTGTGATATTGGGTTGGGGGTTATTGATATGATATGATATCAATGCGTTTTGTGATATGGGTTTTACCAATGAGTCATGTTGGTTGATATAGGGGTGGTACGGGTATGGTAAAAGGGGAAAGGAAAAAAAAAAGGAAAGGAAAAGAAAGGGAAGAGTGACATACATAGGCAGCTCTTAGCATCCATTTACATTGTGTGCAGTATTGGATTGTGATGCGTGGGAGGTGTACTTTATCTGTGGTGATGGAGGCCTTTTTCGGTGGTTCGGGGCTTGTCATTTTTCCTTTTTTTTTTTTTTTTTTTTTTTTTTTTTTTTTTTTCTTGAACTATATTTTTCTGGGTTGGGAATTGTAGGATTTAGTTCCGGTGGATGGTCGATTTGGTCAATTTGCCTTCGTGTTTGCGTTTCTTTTTTTTTTTTTGTTTTTTTTTTTCCCTTGAACTATATTTTTCTGGGTTGGGAATTGTAGGATTTAGTTCCGGTGGATGGTCGATTTGGTCAATTTGCCTTCGTGTTTGCGTTTCTTTGGTGGGTGGTGGAGTGGTGATTGATTGATCGATCTACTATGGTCGGGATTGATATGGATGAAGGGCAATGGCGGCGGATGATGTCAGCGGCGGGTGGAGTTTGCCAGAACGACTAACGATGACCTGAGGCTCTTCGGCGGTGGATTTTATTCATGGCGGCCTCTGATTTGCTCAATGGGGTCGTTGTCTCTTGGTTTATGCAGCCTGTTTGCTCCGAGGCTGCTGGTACTGGGTCGAATGCTTACGATAGTGCTTACTGCATACATACAATTGGAGGTGGTGCATCTTGCGCTGCAGCTCCCGGGATTTGAATCAGTCGTGTCGGTATTATAGTTGGTTCAAGACCACCAAATCTATGATACAAGAAGGACCATCAAATCTGACGCCAGGACGTCACATCGTCCCTCCGAGGATTTGTGGTGATTTTCTTTTGGAATCAGAGAGAGAGAGAGAGAGAGAGGGAAAAAAAAAAGGGAGAAGGAAACAAAAAGAGCCCACACCATCCATAACTGCAGAACATAGGAAATATCAAGGAATCAAAGATATCACTGGGAAGAAATGGGCATACTGCCAAGGCTAGAAAGGGAATTTTCAACACATCAAGGCACAAATAGCTCAGAGAAAAAAGTAAGAGGAAAAAAAATAGAGACGTCGCGTATTGAAGTGCATCGTGGTCATCAAACAGCGGATCCCATGGGCAAATGCGACCGTACACTTCCCCGTCGTCAGCGTCCGAAGTTCATGCAAGTCCAGCGCGTGTTTCCTTCGGGGGCTGAGCAGCCTCACGAGCACCCAGAAATCCCGCGCCTCCCCGCTGATCGGTTGTCGGTACGTGGTCCTGGTCGTGGCGAGTGAGTAGCGATGCGACGTTTCCAAAGGTCAAAAAGAGGTATTGAGAAGAATAAGATTAGGTAGTAGAAGGTGATGTCGTAGCGTTCGAGGGTACAATGGACCGCGTGGTGGCGAGTCCAGCTTAGTTAATGGCGTGGATCCATTACATGACCGTGCAACAGCCTCCCTGCTGCTGAGGAGCGTATGGGTCATCGCGTTTGTCGACCTGGGAGGAGGTTGGTTAGTTTCCCTGATTCTGTTTTCGATCGCACGAGCTAGACGCGGAGTCCCTCGTGCAGGGGAGATTTTGACGTCGCATACCTGACCCCATACGGAAGGTACCATAAAGTCGCGAGTGTTGTTGCAGTAGTTAATCAGCCTGTTCCAGTCCAGACGGATGGTATCAGTATCCGTCGGTCGCACACGAGGGGTAGAACAAGTGGGAATTGGGAACGACGTACGACATCGCAGCCTCGGACACTTTGACCCGGGGACGGTCCAGGTCTTCCTTCAGACGAGCATTGAGTTCTGTCAATCGTCGATACTTCAAATCGGCCACACTTTGCTTCTTGTTCTTCACATCCCCTCCCGATCGAAGCTCGTAGGCAGGCATCGTGATAGATTAAGTTGTTCTTGGTTCCTTTTTCTTTTTTTATCTTAATCTTTTTTTTTTGTATTATCGGGACGATTGAGGTGTGAATTAACTATATGCGCACACACACACACGGGAAGGGAAGGGGGGGGTTTGTGTGGGTTGGACCGGTAAGTAGGAAGAGAATGTGGTCAAGTAAGGTTCGCGCGTTGAGCCGAGTGAGTAAGGGGAAAGAAGGCGGACCGACCAAAAGGGAGAGGCTGCGGTTATGGTGGGAGGAAATTAAATTATGAGCGAGAGAACGACTTTCCAATATTACTTTGGGGGGGAAGGGTTCAACGGAGAGAACGACCGAATAGGCTGACCCGGAAATAATTGCTCAAGTGAAAATAAAAGAATAAAAGGAAGAAAAGTAAAAAAGAAGCAAAAAGGCGAGGCCCCGAGACAAGGATTAGAACTTGGGAAAGAGTGACAAGTCGAGAGGCTAAGAAAGAGGAGAGAGAAATGGGAAATGAAGAATTGGGTGGTCTGTGAGGCGACCTTTGAACTTTGGTTTTTGGGGGGTAAGATCTCGGATGTTGGTTTTTAATTAACGAACCAACTTCCGTCTTGCCTTCTCAGCTTTTTTCCTTCTTCCCCCTGAACCTGGGAAAAAAAAAAATGGAGTAAAATATAACTAGTTTGGCTAGTTACTTAGTCTCATTAGTCAGTTTATCTCCCCTAGTAAAAAAAAATAAAAATAAAAAACAACCACCACAAAAAAAAAAGCGGATGATCGATGTGGAAAAAGTAGTCAAATTTGGGAACGGATCATCCGATTGTCTATTCATCGAAGCTCTTAAGAAGGATGAGCGAAACCCATTGGATTCATAGTGCCTCTTGTTATTATGATTCTGATTGATCTTACGTCCGCTTCTGTATTACATTCCTCATTGAATGTCTCTCGCATGGACGCTTCCATCCCCTCACGTGTTCTCGATGTTACCGTATCATACACCACACGTGATGACCGGCCATTGATGGTCTGTTTCATGGTCTATTGGAGGTCATGGCCATTGCCCGTCCTGCAGACTGGATGGTGACTTGTACAGAGTCCTCGACAGGATCCAGGTCCTACCAAGTACACACGACCAAGTGGTTCCCCAGCTGACTGATCACGGAGAGGGACCCAATCCCTCTGGTGGAATGCGACCCCATTGTTTTCTCCAGCCGGCGTATTGTCCGAGTCCGAGCTCCTTCCAGGAGATCAGAATGGCTCCAGGCTCACGAACCACCCGGAGCTGAATCCCCATTCCCGGGCAGAAATATAGCCAGGGATTAGATCCTTCTGTTAGTCCCAGCCTAGATTGCATATTTATACCATGATTTGGAGTGAGGGATCACGCGGCGTCGCGCTGACTCCCCCTTCATATCACGTGACTTAGGTCGCTTAACCGAAGTGGGAAGCCCTTCGGCCTGTTTTTTGAATTCTCGCACAACGCCCGCCAGAGCCAAAGATCCCTCCCCAACCGACGTTGAAGGGCCGTCGCGTGGCAGTGTATTCGCAAATAGGGACTTTATCGCTTTCGACACTTGCTGCCCGCCGTTGTCGAGCGAAATCCACCATTTTTCGCCCCTCGAACCACAGACGTGTGCCGTTTTTGCCAGAATTCGATAGGAATCGCTCATCCCGAAGCATTCGTCGCCCATCATGCCGCCTCCTCCCCATATCAAGCCCGAAAATGTCCTGAAGGTGAGTGGAACCTTCTGCTGCGATGGACATCGATGCAAAATCATGACGGTCGCGGATAACGGAGATGCTTGATGGAAACTAACGCTGGCGTTTTTGCTCGTCTTAGAGGGCTCAGGAACTTATCGCCGTGGGCCAGGCCCCCGCCGCCCTTAATGTCCTTCACGAACATGTCACCTCCAAGAGGACGCGCAGCAGCCCCATCGCTTCGCTGGAACCGGTTATGCTACTTTTCGTCGAGCTGTGCGTGGATCTTCGCAAGGGAAAGGCCGCCAAGGATGGATTGTATCAATATAAGAACATCGCTCAGAACACCAATGTGGCCACTATCGAGGTACGCGAACCATGGGCGATCGGAGGTGGATCAGAGAGAAGCTTACAGGTTGTGTGTATTTGCAGGTCGTCCTCAAGAAGTTCATCGAACTCGCCGAGAAGAAGGTGACCGAAGCCCAAGCCAAGGCCGATGAGATCCAGTCCTCGTTGGAATCGGCCGCCCCCTCGACCAATGTGGAAGATTTGGAAGCCATCGAAACCCCCGAGACCATCCTTCTCGCCACTGTTTCCGGTGAGCAGTCCCGTGATCGTACCGACCGTGCTGTCGTGACCCCATGGCTCAAGTTCCTTTGGGAGACCTACCGGACCGTTCTGGAAATCTTGAAGAACAATGCTCGTCTCGAGGTGATGTACCAGACCACCGCTCTCCAGGCCTTCCAGTTCTGCCTGAAGTACACCCGCAAGACGGAATTCCGCAGGCTCTGTGAGCTCCTCCGGAACCATGTGCAGAACGCTGCCAAGTATTCCGCTCAGATGCACGCCATCAACCTGAGCGATCCCGATACTCTCCAGCGCCATTTGGATACCCGTTTCCAGCAGTTGAATGTGGCCGTTGAGTTGGAACTCTGGCAGGAGGCTTTCCGCAGCATTGAGGACATCCACACCCTTCTGAGCCTCAGCAAGCGCCCTGCCAAGAACGTCATGATGGCCAACTACTACGAGAAGCTGGCTCGCATCTTCCTGGTTAGCGAGAACTATCTTTTCCACGCCGCTGCCTGGAGCCGCTACTACAACCTCCTCCGCCAGTCCGCTGCCGCCCTCGCCGCCGGTCAGGGTACCAAGAAGGAGAACCCTTCTGTTACTGATGCCGACATGACCAAGGCCGCCTCTTTCGTCCTCCTGTCTGCTCTTGCCATTCCCGTGATCAGCACCTCTCGCTCTCGTGGCGCCTTGGTCGATGTGGATGAGGTCCGCAAGAACAAGAACACTCGCCTCACCAACCTTCTGGGTATGGCCCAGTCCCCCACCCGTGCGGTCCTCTTCAAGGATGCCCTCAACAAGGGACTGCTGAAGCGTGTTCGCCCTGAGATCCGTGACCTCTACAACATCCTCGAGGTCGACTTCCACCCCCTGTCCATCTGCAAGAAGATCACCCCTATCCTCAAGCAGATTGGCGCTGATCCCGAGATGGAGAAGTACGTTGTGCCTCTTCAGCAGGTCATTCTGACCCGTCTCTTCCAGCAGCTGTCTCAGGTTTATGAGTCGGTTTCGCTGAAGTTCGTGTACGAGCTGGCCCAGTTCCCCGACCCCTTCCAGGTCACCCCCGCCATGATCGAGAAGTTCATTATGAACGGCTGCAAGAAGGGAGATCTTGCCATTCGGGTGGACCACATCTCGGGTGTTCTTACCTTCGATACCGACGTCTTCTCGTCTGCTAAGGCCCTGCACTCTGGCAGCGCCGCTGGATCTGCTGAAAGCGAGATCGGCTCGGTGCAGCGCATGCAGAACACTCCTGCTGAAATCGCCCGCCTGCAGCTCACCCGCCTCGCCAAGACTCTTCATGTTTCGTGCATGTATGTCGATCCCTCCTACAACGAGGCTCGTCTGCAAGCCAAGCAGGCCGCCCACGCCCGCGCTGCTGCTGGTGCTGCCAAGGAGCATGAGGAGACCTTGGCTCGCCGTGTCGTTATCGACAAGAAGAAGGAGGCCGCCACTGACGCTCTCCAGCGTAAACAGAGAGAAGAGGAGACCCGCAAGCGGATCCGTACCCAGCAGCTCCAAGAGGCTGAGAAGCAGCGTCTGCTTGATGAGCAGCGCGAGCGTGAGAAGAAGCGCATCAAGGATGAGCAGGATCGTATCCGCGAGCAGGAACTCAAGAAGCAAATCGAGGAGTTGAAGAGCGGAGTGAAGGGCATTGACCTCAGCGAAGTTGATCTCAAGGACCTCGATGCTAACCGCCTTCGTGCGATGAAGCTCGCCCAGCTCGAGAAGGAGAAGAACGAACTCAACGATCGTATTCGCACCACTGGTAAGCGTATTGACCATCTGGAGCGTGCTTTCCGTCGCGAGGAGTTGAAACACATTCCTGCCGACTATGAGGCACAGAAGAAGCGTGATATGGAGCTCTACGAAGCCATGAAGGCCGAGACCTTGAAGGAGGCTGAGGACAAGCACAAGGAGGCTGTTGCTCTCAAGCACCGTCTCAGCCGTCTGGTACCTGTGTTCAACAACTTCCGCAAGGATGTCTCTGAGAAGCGTCACGAGGAGTTTGAGAGGCGCCGCAAGGCTGCCGAGAGAGACTTCGAGGCCAAGAAGAAGCAACGTATCAAGGAAGTGCAGGACCGTAGGCGCCGTGAGAGGGCTGAGCGTGAGGAAGCTGAACGTCGCCAGAAGGAGGAAGAGGAGCGTATTCAGCGTGAAGAAGAAGAGCGTGCTGCCAAGGAGGAAGAGCGCAGACGTGTTCTGGCTGAGGAGAAGGCGAAGCGCGAAGAGGAGAGAAAGTGAGTGCACGGTTTTGACCCCTGTTGGCTTATTTTGTCAATATTGAAGAAATGTTGCTAACCTTACTTCCAGGAAACTCGATGAGATTGCCCTTAAACAGAAGCAGCGCGAAGAGGAGGCCGAAGCCCGTCGTGCTTCTCGGAAAGCCGGTGTTCCAGAGCCGCCCTCTCGTGCAGAGCCCGAACGTACTGCTCCTCGCCTCAACCTGGCTCCTCGCACTGGTGGCGGACCTAGCTGGAGAGAGCGTCAGGCCGCCAAGGAGGCCACCGGCGGTGCTGCTCCTGAGCCTGCCAAGGAAGAGCCTGCTGCTGCCCAGCCTCCCCGCCGGACCGGTGGCTACGTGCCCCCTCATCTCCGCTCTGGTTCTTCAACTGCCCCCGCTGCTCCCCCTTCTAACGGCGCTGCACCAAGCCGCTACGTGCCCCCTAGTGCTCGCGAGTCCGGTTCCTCCACTCCCCCCTCTCGTACGCAAACCCCCGCTGCTACTTCTGAGGAGCCTAAGAGCGCTGGAAAGTGGGTGCCTCGGTGGAAGCAGCAACAAGGCCAGTAAATAATTCACGTCGTTTGAAAAGTTTCTTGGAATGTTGAAAGGATGTGTTGCTTTTACAATTTCTCCCTTTTTATTCTCTCTCACCCTCATGTTCGCATTGTCTCCTCCACGGTATCATTTACCTTGTTTCTATGATGATCGCTGAGACTCCAGGGACATCTTTTAATCTGGTCCCTAGATAGTCTCTCATGTTCACCAAATGCATTTATGTTCCATTAAATGAAGTCTTCACCACCTTCTTTCCTGTCATATCCGACAGTTACTTGGATGGATAATGCAGAAGCTATGAGTCTCTTTCTTTCACCGTATATGATTGTCACCTTTCCGCTTTTGTTCAAACTCTTGCCAATGGGTAATTGGTGGCGTATGATGTCTAATTCATGTTGATTTGACTTGACACTCTTACCTACCTTTCATATAAATATTGCAGATTGATTCGGGAATTGTCACGAACATGCTACACCCAGTAACTGAGTAGCGTACTTTGCCTGATTATTTCCTTGGGTGGGTACTTTCCGTTAAACTACTCATGGTATTTATTCTTTGTTTATCTGGTGTGTCCTTTTCAACGCCTTACTGTACAAAGCAGAAATTAACTGGCAAGAAACGGACCGGTGTAACTGGTAAAGGAATGTATCTCGGCCTGCGAAGAGAAAGAAAAGGAACAACAAAGAGGATTGGTTAAGATGTCGTATCTAATGGGCCGCGATTGGCAGGGTAAGTACTTCAAAAAAGGAGATAGATAGGGTGTATGTATGTATGTCTGGTTGTCTCGTGTAGTATTTATGTTGAGAATAGGTTCAGAACAAAGGAATAAGTGCACGACGTGAATGAAGATCTATATACTTGGAAAGGAAGAGTCAAAGTCAAAGTAAAAAGGGGTATGTCGCAGCCTCTAATATTGCGCGGATCATTCATATGCTGAGGCGATGTTATCGTGAGAATTTCCGTTCGTGAGTTTGGTTTCAAGCAGCGGCAGTGGCGGCTTCTGCGCCGGCAGCTCCGAAGAGTCTCTCCCTCCATTCTCCGCAGACGGCTTCGAAGCCGCTGACAACGTCTCCGCACTCGCGCCCGGCTTCCCGGTCTCGAAGACGGCGATCCCAATCGCCTTTCTCAATCCACCGGGTGCCCTCTTCGCGACTTTCTTCTTCACGGCGGAGTTCGGAGACCAGTTCGCGCGCGGATCGGAGTCTTCGAGAGGCGGTGGCTGTTAGCTGGCGCGATTCGTAAAGCGTATCGCTTAAGCTTTGTAAAGAGAGTGTGATTTCGGATGTTTGCGAAACGAGTGATTGGAGGGAATAGAGCGGGTTAAGAGCGGGTGAGTGAGAGGGTGTTGAGGGTCCTGATGAGTGACGGGATTGGACCGGGAAAGGATAAGGGAGGTTGGGTAAGAGCTCGTCGTCGATCAGAGGGATGAGGGAATCTATAGCATCTTCGGAGAGAAGAGGGAAAGGAGAGAAAAGGAGAGGGTGGGTGAGTGTTTGGAGAGTCCGAGTTTGGTGGGTGAGATGTGAAGTAATGGAAGAGTGTGCTGTGATAAGTCTGTGCGGATAGGCCAAAATCAGTATAATTACTTCACAAAAGCAAATCAGTCTGGACGAGTGAAGGACGGCCATACCTCATAGCATTGTTTTCGATCCCACTCTGTCCACCAAGATCCCGAAGTGCTTCAACAACGCGAGCAATGGCGTGATCACTTTCACTCCCATTGTTTTCCAATCCCCGCCGAGCCAAGCTCTCAACCTCCGCCATCTGCATCTCTAGACTTGGCGAGATGTCCGCCGCTTCCTCCAGGTCCGAGTCAGGGCCGTAGTCTGAACCGTCATATTGTGATTCGGTTCGGCGATGTCGATGACCACCATTCCGAGTCTTGGGTTTTGGAGGCTGCAGGGAAGCACGCTCGGACGAGTAACCTGACGACGGTGTCCTGGTTCCCATGTGATAGCCGTCCTCTGAGTCGCTGCGATCCATATGTTGCGAATCGGCAGGGATATGTTCGACCTCCTGTCCTGACGTATACCCATAGCCGCCCTCCTCCTGCTCCCAAGCATCAGCCAGTTCGTCTGCAAGGTTTCCCAAGCCACCCCCACCCATATCCGCAGCACTGCCAAAGTCACCCGACATTCTATAATGAGATCCGTTTATGCTTTGCGCATGGTGTCCGCGGGCCGGCGATGACGAGGCTGAAAAGCGAGGGGACATAGGCGACCTTGGAGGGCTATGAGAGAAGCCATTTGGAGCATATGTGCCTGGAGAAATAGGGTCAAAGTCGATGCTAGATTGGGACGGATGATGGCGGTGAGACAGTCTCAGGGGAGATGGTGGGATGGACGGCATGGTTCAACCCCAGCCAGTTGGATGGATAATCGGAAAAAGAGAAGGTTGAGAAAGAAAGACTGCAGGTGTCACTCAGACAACGTTTTAATATAGCGGAGCGAACGAGCCGTTGGAAATTGCAGCTGCAAGGGTCCCTCCGATGATGGTCTTGGAACGTGACCAGGGGTTGCGGCGCGGAGGGGAAAGTAGAGTAAAAGGATGTCAACAATACTGGGTCAACCGCATCACCAGGACGCTCCAGGAAATATTTGTAAAAAAAAAAAAAGAGACAAAAGTTCAAGCTCTGTACCTCAAAACAAACCAAGATATTTACCAGTGACAATGATTCGAGGGAGTGAATGAATGAGACGGCGTGGAGCAAAATAAGGGAAAGTTGAGGCCGTCCAAATCATCGGCCAGAGCGGCATTTTTCCCGTGACCGCCGAAGCCCCAATTGGGCCGATGGTTTCTTTCCCCACGGCGGAGCTTCAATTCAATCAATTACCTTCAGGACAATTTAATAATTTCCCACCACATTCCTCTGTTTCTACATAACCTATCACTGATTACCTATTCTTAACCATCCATTTATATTCATTCACTTTCCATTTCATACTGACCACACCACCATGAGTTCCATCCGGCGCATGTCCCCGACGGACCTACTCTCCCTCAACCTGACGAACCTCGACCCATTAACGGAGAACTATGACCTGGGCTTCTACCTTAATTACCTCATGCGGTGGCCTTCCCTCTTCAGCAGCGTCCAAGACCGCCGGGAAGGCATTGTCGGTTACAGTATGTGGAAGGAATAGCCATAATACTTGTTCCATGACACCCAGATTTAGATTCTGGGCCCCACTACATATCGCATATGCATGTCGCTAACGTGGCGCCATTCATATAACAGTCATGGGAAAGACCGAAGAACAACACCCGTCCATGCGTCACTCTGAACACTATACTCCCTGGCACGGCCACATCACCGTCTTGACGGTGGCGCCCGCATGGCGTCGGCTTGGCCACGCTCGCCGTCTCACCGAGAGACTCGAGCGTGGATCCGACATCAACGACGCCTGGTTTGTGGACTTGTATGTCCGGTCTGGGAATAAGATAGCGGTGGACATGTATAAGGGAATGGGGTGAGTATCGCGCGATCCAATGCGCATGTCGCAAATTTGCAAGGCTGACAAGGGCTCCTACAACAGATACTCTGTATTCCGACGGGTGGTGAATTACTATAGCGATGATCCGACGGGAATGTCAGATTCCGGTGAAGACGCATTTGATATGCGGAAGCCATGCTCTCGAGATAAGAATCTACAACATGTACGGGAAAATGGGGAGGATTTCCTTGTTAGTCCAGAGGATGTTTCATAGAGTCCCTGGTCTGTTTCGATGTTTGCTTGGGTATGTGCATAATAAAAGTGCGGTATATTTTAGCATTCAGGTGTTTCGGTGTTATCTTCGATCTTCTGTCTCTTTTGTGTTGTTCTTGCATCCGGGATTCTTTGCAGTGCTTCGCGCTCTATTAGATGATGTCGACATAAATGTGTACGGAATGAGGAAAACTGCATTGAGTGGACCATGCGCTCTAAAATGTTTCTGGCGCTTAAAATACTGTAGCTCAAGTCCTGAAATTGTAGTCTATCTATTTGACATTAAATTATGTATAAACGTGCAAACTTAAAAGCAAGTATCTATGAAAGCATGCAACTTTTCTAGGGCCCAAAACTCCAGCCTCCCGGCATAATGCAATGACTTCGTGTGGTGAGATATCATTCGACCGTTACGATCTGTTCAAGTTGGGGTGTCCCGTTAGGGGCATAGAAACCCTGAGAAGGGATGCCGATAGCTCTGTGTTGGAGCGGCCTCGTTTTCCTATCGGGGCTTGACTCAAAAGGGCAAGAACAGCATTCCTCATATGGCTTCAGGCCTGATAGGAAGAGGCAGGGCTCCTGAGTTTAGGCTTTAGCAGTAAGATGGAAGCCTGTGCGAGACAGTCTCAGCGCAGCAAAAATCGAAGAAGCCGTGATGAGACAGCAGGCAGTGAAAAGTTGAACACCAAGATACTTATGGGTGCTGTCCAGAATGGCACCGCCGATTGGTGTTCCGATTAACAGTCCGAACGAAGTGGTTGAGAAGACCATACCCAAGCGTGTTCCCAAGGTGCGGATGTCCTTGGTCATACTAGCCATGACCACCGGCGGCAGCGAAACGAAACCACCGGAAGTAAGACCATATAGAACGGCCAAGACGATGATACCAGGGACGTTGTGCACACCAATCCAGGCAAAGGCAAGAATAGCGGTAGCGGTAGCGGCAGGGGTGAGCACGTTCAAAGGGCCGGTATGGTCGGCAACGAAGTTGGGCAAGACTCGTCCCAAGGTGGACCCGGCGTTCAGCATGGAAAGAAGATAGAAACCCAGGTTGGAGTCGACAATCCCAGTCTGGATGGCGTAGGACTGGACGTAGAACAAGAAGTTGTAGAACCCCAAAAAGCCCATAAACATAGCGATGGAAAACATGACAAATTGCGGTTCTTTATAAGCTGAAAGCTGAAACAGCTTGCGTTTCTCCTTAGGCTGGAAGCGCATTCGCATGATGCAACATGAGATGCAGCAGGTCCCGAAACAAAGGAACCCCAACGCACGCGTAGCCCACTCGAACCCAACCCTCTCCTGCAGTTGATTGAACATTATTGGGTAGATCACGCCACCAATGCTGCTTCCCGAGGCAGCCAGTCCATTGGCCAGCCCTCTCTTCTTTTGGAAGTACTGAGGTAGGATGGCGACCGAGGGGACGAACAGACAGCCGGCTGATAGTCCGATAACAACCCCTTGTGCGAGGATTAGGTGCCAGAACTTGGAGGATAGACTAGTCATCATAAGGCCAAATGGCAGCCCAACAGACCCGAAGGTGATAAGGCCACGGAAATAGCCTGCATCGAACAGGGGACCAGTCACTACTCCGAACAACATGAGAAGGAACGACTGCAAGGATCCAATCCAGGCAATAGAGTCTGAGGACATGTCGGACAAGAAACTCTGTTCGTAGTACGTTTGGAATGCACCCCAGGTGTTGATGACACCCCTAAAATATGACGAAGTTAGCGAGTTGCCTCACAAGTAAAGGATACATGTCTAAGTGCATCGCACGACGTATGAATGGCACATACCAAGAATTGAAGAACAGGAAGAACGAGCCAAGGACTTGCAGCCAGGTATTCAACCCCGTGTCAAAGGTTGGCTCTTCTTCGGGTTTCTCTCCAGAAGAAGAGTCCGACAAATCGGACCTCTGTTCGTTGCCATTATGTAGATGGTTATTTGCCCCGGGATCCACGATAACCTTCTCTTCGATATCAGCATCCGTACCCATGTTGACAGCGGCTCGCTTGCGGTTAAACAGCCCTTCTGCGAATGCAGAAACACATAGAAGACACAGGCAAGGAAGGGAGGGTGAGATAGACACGCACAACGACGCTGTGGTCAAGTTTGGGGAGGCGCTTTCCGACGAAGTCTGGCAGGCCAGTAGTAATGCTACCTCAGAAAGATAAGCGAAGAGGAAACTACAGTGGTCTGAGACCGGAACAGTGGAGATTTATGAATTGGCATTACATTTTCTCAGCGCCTTTTGTCGCAGCGGGCCGATAGCAGGCTAAGCTTGCGCACCAGGTTAAACCCAGGGCCGGTGGAGACTTTCGGGGAGACGGTCCACAATCACGGGTCCCATCCTTCAAGCAAAGCCAGAAAAATTGCGAAAAAAAGTAGCCTAGAACAAAGAAATTTGTTAGTGACCCATCGGTGGAAAGCACCCTACTGGCTAATGACTGAATTACCGAGTACACACTACACAGGGCGTCAACCATTTCACGGCGCATTGCCGACGGTGACTACCATATCCAAAGCTGAACCTTCAATCCTGATGTATCGACTGCAAGGCTACCCCAAGTATTGAGAATGCCCAACACTTGAACACCTGAGCTTCAAACCGATGATAATTGAGACCTGTAGGTTTCATGAGGTCCCATCATTGATTGGCTCAAGGACGAGTGGTCGGCAGTCACCGCATCAAACGTCTAGCCGAGTAGTGTGACGACGTGCCGATTATCCAGCGGGGAAGGAGACCATATTATTAATCCATGTCACATTTGATCTTTCAGAGGATGATCATTCAGGAATCTTGGCTTTCTTGGTATCAATTGGCTCAGCCCATATGAACCGTATATCGGCCCAAAAAAGGACGTGGACGAAATTAAGGTCCTTTTCCATGAGTCACGACCCAGTGGAGTCTGCGGGTTCCGATTTCACCTCCGAACAATAAACCTGTATTGATACGGAGAAGCCCTAAATCTCCACGTGGGAGATCATGATGCGGGCTTATCGATTGATATCTGCACGAAGGCCATTATCGTCCGTCTGAACCCCCAGGGACCTCTGTACAATCAGCAGCGACGTAACGAGGTCTCTTGTATAAGAATGTGGGGGAACTTAAAAAAAAATCCTTGGTCACCTGTTTATCGCCTTTTGCATCGTTTGAACATGATCGTATTTGATCCGGCCCCGGAAAATCTCCCACCCGGTGCAGACCCTAAAACGGTTTCAATCAACGTACGTAGTTCGCTCCTACGTTTTGTCACCTTCCTCTCTATAGAGTCTATACTTAGTTCGATGTCTCCACTACCTTTCACATTAGGGTAACTTTATCGAGCTTGGCTCTGCATCCGCTTCGAAGCTAAGCCACAGTGTAGCTATGACCCAAATAACCGACGCTCACTGCAAAGTAGTATGACATCTGTCCTGATTTATGGTAGACTAGATAGAGACAATCCAGGCTACCCAGCCAATATATTACGGTCATTAGGCCCGTCACTAATGGGGTATAGTGTATAGAAGCTGTCAAGAATAGAAGTGTATGAGACTGTCCGAAATTGAACGCTGTGATGCCCTTCAGAAACCTTCAACCATTCGGGGTGGAATCACCCATACCAAAGCATGTGGAGCTTAGAAGCCTGCCCTTCTGAGTAAATACTCACAAGGGTTTCAATGACCCTGAAATCTGGCGCCCCGTAATCTCATAAAACGAGTACTGTACAGGCAGTAATACCTCGTCCTGAAGTGTCCATGACCGCGGGTTATACAAGTAAGGTGTAGAAATAGTTGTGGTACTTTCGTGAATGTAGCAAACTGGTCACCAATAATCGGGTTGACAAGTGTCAACGCGCGTCTAAAATTATTTTATAGTAGCATGGTAGGATCCTATGGAAAGCAACAGTGTCAACATCAAAACTATTTTTTCTTTTTCTATATTGCAATAAACTGTACTGCGTTATCGTTTTGTGGTTTTTTTCCCTTCCCAGTGACCTAGGCTGGCTAGCCATTATGGTCCGCTTTCCTACTCCAAAACTCCAAACGCTATGCTGCACACAAGGAATGAAAGAACGTACATGATAATAGAAAGAGCCCAATTTCCAATACACAGCCGCCCATTCCATCTTTTTATTTAGAGTAATTCTTCGCATGTCCAGTCCTCGTACCTAAATGAGAGATACAACAGTCAGACCCGAGTTTGAAAGGCTAGGGGATCAAAAATGCCGCTTACCATCCATCAGGCAGATATCTTCTCACAATGAGGGGAATTTTCTTCTGGTTCAGTTCCTTGATGGCGATTTGCAAGGGATCTGTCTCTCCTTCAAGATCCACAAGCACAGGAGCGTTCATACTAGTAATATGTCAGAACAACAATTCCCCGCGTCCAGGATATATCCGTCTATGACCCACCTGATTTGCAAGGCCCTGGTGCCCAGAACACGCGCCCGCTCATACTTGGTCATGTATGGGGTTGTCGTGCGCTGATCGTTTGGCACCTTCCTTTCCCGCACTTGCTCCATCACTTTCCCCGAGTATCCGGCGCTAGGATCGCCCGAAACGACAACACGATCTCCATTGACTGCGGGAGTGTAGTGATCCTCTCCATATGCTTCTGCGCCTTCCACGCCCTCAATGTCCTCGGGGTTCAAGAAGTCTTCGGGCTCATTGTCATCGTAGTCTTGACCGGCGTCGAAGTCATAGCTAGAAAAGTGTTAAACCAGAAGAACTTCTATTGAAACAGCCATCCGGCAAAGAGATCATGTTTGGCGCATCCTCTTCTCTTTGCGCTAGCTGTAGGTTGCTGTGGAGAAATGGCTTCTTACTTGTCCTCGTCACCGTGGTCACCGTAGTCAGACATTGTGCCTGTTTAAACGCAAAGGAACTGGGGAAAGATGGAGAACAAGTGCCACACAAGCGAATGAAAAGCCGATACGGAGTCCCGGACGATCTGGGGTAAAGCGATTGATATTGCGACGGAGCTTCCGAGTGAAGAATTCGATATCGCGACTCGAGAAGGCGGCGGAAAAAGTTCCTTAGACACTAGTCCCTTTTGGGAGCTTTAATCTCACCGCTTTAACAGCATTTTCGGCAAAATTTCACGATAAGCAATCTCAGATAAAATTTATCGTTGTTTTCAACTGTCGCTCTTTGATCAAATTATTGTCCTAAATGCTGTCATAAGTTTGGAGGTAGTAACTCTGGTGCTCTTGAGCTATGGGTCAAAAAAGAAAAGCCTCGGAAGGCCTTGATGCTCCCAAGAAGATCCTCAAGCAGACGGCACTGGATGATACTGGTAAGGAAGCTCCCTTCCGGCCTTGAGCATCATTGAAAGACTAAGCATTCTTCAATGGATGTAGATCCGATCTACGAGGAAGCACATTCCGATTGCGATTACGTATCGTCAGATGAAGGGAGTGTAGATAGCAATAGCCTTCATGAGACCCCGGCAACTCCCATCTCAACAATCTCAGCCAGGTACCCTTCCGAGCTGAAGACTCACCGCTGCCCTTTCGACGGATGCACAAAGGCCTTCAATCGCCCAGCCCGCCTCCAGGAACATCTCCGTTCGCATAATAACGAACGGCTCTTCGAATGTACTCACGAAAATTGCGATAAGACGTTTTTGCGAGCTTCGCATTTGAATCATCATATCAAAAGCGCTCACACTGGAGTTCGAGATTATGTATGTGACCGGCCGGAGTGTGGAAAGAGTTTTGTAACCGGGTCCCGTCTTCGTCGCCATTTGGCTGCCCATGATGGAAAAGAAAAGTACCGTTGTACGGAATATCCCCCTTGCAATGAAACCTTCCGAAAGCACTCGACCCTCCAGAAGCATATAACGACCGTTCACTTGAAGCGAAAACCATTTCAATGCCCGCATATTGATCCAAGTACTGGTCTGAAATGCTCTATGGCTTTTGACACCGCTGGTCACCTGCGAGCACATGAGAGCAGAGTTCACACGGAGAAACGGTTCAGCTGCACGGAGTGCTCGCAGCATATGGAAGTAGCCGATCCGTCCTCAGATAACCCTTCGGCTGGCTTGTCCGCAGTGACTTTCCCTACCTATGCTCTTCTTCAGGCTCACATTAAAACTGCCCATCCCCCACAATGCTCCAACTGTTCTATCACATGTTCGACAGCCCGTGAACTACGTCGGCATCTCGAAGTCGCACACGGTGATGTGAGTCTCGAAGAACGAAAAGTATTTCCGTGTGTGGTCCCCGGGTGTGATCGGAGCTTCACGAAGAAAGGAAATCTGACGGTCCATATCCGGACCGTCCACCAAGGCGAGAAACGGTTCGTGTGTGGCGAGACAGACCTCTCGAACTCCAAAAAGGTAGCGGGGTGGAATGGCGATGGATGTGGAAAGCGATACGGAAGTAAACTCGCTCTCGAAGAACATATTCGTACCGCACATCTTGGCTGCCTGAATGCTAAAGCTGAACGACGACAACGTCTTGGTCTTGGTAAAGGACAACAGAATGCTCCAAGCAGACCTACTGGTATATCAGCACTGGCCGCTCTAACGGGTGAGGGCTACGCCGAAGAAACAGGTCGCCATATTCCGTGTTTCTTTGATACTTGTGCGCACCGCTTTCACCGCAACTATGACCTTTGGGTGCATATGGGCAGCAAACACAGCTGTACAGAAGACGAGATCCGCGATATGTTCATGCAGCGAGCATTGCTGGCTGAAGACCCAGAGCCTATTACCGGTGACATGCTTGGAATCTACGGACTTGAGTTTGATGATGACCCCTCTTCTGAACCGTATATTCTAGGGGAAGCCTTGGGTGCGAGCGCAGATCTGGGCACAAAGGACGAAAATACCCTTGCGGGCCTGAACCCACCAGGCTTCCCCAGTACTCTGGAATTCGACTCCAACTTTATGATGCAAGATGTTGATGCGGAGACATCAAATGCTGATGATATGGCGATGATCGATCCTTTACTATCGTATGATATGATGGACGTATAGAAATTTCCAACGATAATTTCGGGTTCTTCTCATTGGCGATTTATAGTGCATGGTCAATCTGCTCTTTATTTTCTATCTTCCACGTTACTCTCTTTCTTTCATTTTTTTTCCTCGCGCATATGATACCACAAAAGTACCTTGCAGACTAGTCCAGATAATGGAGCATGATCCTTGGTTAATCAATTTAAGTTATAGCAAAATAAGCCCATGACACTCTTCCTCTTTCCATATCCTGCCTAATCTGTACAAACCCCAGCACTCAATAGCCAAGTTTCAACAAAATATACAGAGACATTTGAGCTGTAGAAAACATTAACATACACAAACCCAATAACTCCTGCGAAAGAAACCATCTTTGTACCATTCTATCTAATAATAGCAATGCTAGACCCCAAATATGAAGCTCAAGCTGTTCTGTATTGACTCCAGGTGATTTAGTACTGTTAAGGATATATTCGCGAAACCGGGATACACAAATGAGAAATAGGAGGAAAAGTAACAGAAACAAGATATGGTTATGTAGTCTAGTGAGCTGAATTTAGCTTTCTTTTTTGCATCTTCTCTTTTCTTTCACAATATGTTGACGGCTTGGTACAGGAACAGCTATGGTGTATTTATGGAACAAAATATGCTCTCTTTCAACAATGGGAATAGCAGGGTCTGTTCTGGCTGCTGAGAAAACGGATGAACTGTGCATGCCCAGAGCTGCGT